AAGGATTTGGGTTGCAGAGACAGAGTCACTACCATGGATCCAGCAGTGTCCTGGGGGTCTGTAGTTGTCCTTGGTGGTGGGGGTCCTCCAGGGTCCATAGTAATTGTCAGAGGTGGGTGTCCCAATGGTCATTACCTTTTCCCCCTTTTATTATGAGTTGGGGGGGAATACGTCTGTTCTTAACGTCATGTACTGCACTGGTAGACCAGTTTCACTGACCTTGCAGCCAGCTCTTCAGCTGCATGTCTGTAGCAATTCCTCACACCAGTCCTTGAGGTAATGGATGAAAGAGTCTTAACTCCTCCCACCCATCTCTCAGACAATGGACAGTGGAGTCCCACCTCAGCTTCTCATGCCCATCTTTGAGACAGCGGATGGTGGAGTCTGATTTCATAGAATGTTTTCCTTGCAGATGCTCTGGAGTGTGACTCACAAGCCTTTGCAGCTCAGATGGTTTTGCAGAATGAGCTACCAGCAACCCCTTTGTCTGTCCTTTGTGTGATATTATTGAATAAGCTCAAGGTAACCCATACCTTAGAGTAACTACTACTGTAAGTTCCTGCAATCGGTGTTTTCACACTTGTTTCCCATCTGTTAACAGCAACAGAAGTTACCTGTGCAAGAACAGGTTTATCGCTGTCTCACAAGAACATGAAGACAGCAGTGGTGTCAAAGATGTGGAACTAAGAATTTATGTCCTAAGAAATCTTGGGCTCTAACTGCCCATTTTTTAACTCCTCCACACTGATATCTGAGGCACTCTTTAGGATTTCGTTTCTATGTTAATTTCCCATTTGTACTATTGGTATATGAACAATTTGTATTAAAAATGTGTAAAGATCTACAGAATCACAGAATCCACAAGCTGTTGGAAAAGACCTTTCAGACCATCAAGTCCAACCATTCCCCTAGCACTGCCAAGGCCGCCACTAACCCATGGCACTGAGGGCCTCATCTACTTGGTGTGTGGACACTTGCAGAAACGGTGACTGCAGCCCTGCCCTGGGCAGCCTGTTCCAATGCCTGAGCACCCTCTGGGGCAGGAATTGTTCCTCAGCTCCATCTAAACCTGCCTGGTGCAGCTTGAGGCTGTTTCCTCTTGTCCCATCCCTTGTTCCTTGGGAGCAGAGCCCAGCCCCTCCTGGCTCCATCCTCCTGTCAGGCACTTGTAGGGAGCCATCAGGTCCCCCCTGAGCCTTCTCTTCTCCACACTGAACCCCCCAGGTTCCTCAGCCCTTCCCCATCACACTTGCACTCCAGGCCCTGCACCAGCTCCACTGCCCTTCTCTGGCCCTTCTCCAGCACCTCAATGTCTCTCTTGTAGTGAGGGCTCCAGAACTGAACACAGGATTCGAGGTGCAGCCTCACCAGTGCCCAGCACAGGGGCACAACCCCTGCCCTGGCCCTGCTGCCGCACTGGTGCTGATCCAGACCAGGTTGCTGGGGGCTTCTTGGCTGCCTGGGCACGAGCTGCTCGTGTTCAGCTCCATCACTCAGCACCCCCAGGTCCTTTTCCATGGGCAGCTTTCCAGGCACTCTTCCCCAGTCCAGGAGCGTTGCATGGGGTTGTTGGTGCCCAACACAGTGGTATGTTTACATACTCATTAGGAAAACATAGTGCTATGCAAATGATAAAGTTTTTGTTCTTACAAGATCTAAATTTTCTAGTAAAGCTTTTGAAATGAGGAAGTGGAAAGCCTGAGCTTTTATGACATTTGTGTTTTGAATTCTTGTGGTTGCACACTAATTTTTGTGTTGATGCTGAAGTAAGAGCTGTTACAATATCCAGGAAACTCCAGTGCCCTCTGTTGTGAGTGCTCTAAAGGGAGAGCCATCTGAAATACATGGCTGTGGAAATGCTGCTGAAGATGATGAAAAAGCCTGGCGATAATCTGATAGTCATTAAGATTAAAGATGAAGATTAAGGGCCCAAATCGGCCATTTGGAGATACGAACTAGGGGACTTCAGCTGATCTCTGTATGCCAGCAGGGCAGCAGGATTTATCCTGGATTTTCTCTTCTGATTTTAACCAATTTGAATGAATTCAGTTTGGAAAGGAGCTCGGTTCTACACATCTCCAAAGCATAATCATTGTTAGCCCATTTAGTCCTGTTTGCAGCTGCAGGTTGGCTGAATTAATAAATCCAAGGTGACATCTTAGTCACATAGTTTGGGCTAATGTATTCCAAAATGTACTTTGTTTATGGTATTTTTAGGAAGGTGGGGATGAGCATTAGGAACGAAGCAATTACCCATTTAAGAATCCGTGTCCTAATTTTCCTGGATTTGTATTAATATATATGAGAAAAAAGATGCTAAGCTTACTCCTTTTCTTCTAAAAGTGACTGTGTTGGATGTGCATTTTGTATGTGATCTCACTTCCTTTCCCTGCATTACTTTTTCTATGTTATTTCTGTCCATGCTTACAAAACAGGAAATTCTGATAGCAGTAAACTGAAGAAAACAACATAATAAATGTATCTCCCTAAATGTCTTAACATGCTAAAACCAAAGAAAGCTGTAAAAGGTAAATTAAAGTTTGTGTAGGTAAATTATATGTAAATGCTGTTTACACATGAAACTACCAAAGTGATAAATTGCATCAGAGTAAATCATAATGCCACAAAGTTCAGTGGAGTAGAGGGAATAGCTTAGTTTGGGTTGCAGGTGGTTTACACTTACACGTTACAGTTGAGTATCTGTATAGAAGCATACGAATCGTGTGTATGGATGATGTTGTAGGCTGCTTACATGTAGTTTCTTTAGATATGTTCCGTACAGTGTACATCCTTTTTCTGGTGTCCTCTGCACAGCCTTCAGCTTGTGTGTATCAATAGCATCTGGTGTTCAGGTTGCAGGTTCTGGGTGTTCTGCCAAGACAGCTCATGCTGACCTGTAACCTGCTCCATTCAGTCTCCTCCTGAGGAACTCCGTGGGAATGAATACACTGTGTTCTGGATGTGCTGTTCAATAGGCAGTTCCTGCTCTCTGGGGGCATGTGGACCTGTGTGTAACCTGGCAATACAGTGCACCCAGGTGACTGGGGAAAGGCTGTGATGAGCCTTTGCATGCTGCTTAGAACCCAGGTGATTCACCTGTGGAACAGGTACAGATGCAGACCTTCCCTGGAGTGTGACTGTCTAGTAACTGAAACATCATCTGTACCATCCATAGAACCCCAGACTGGTTTGGGTTGGAAGGGACCTTAAATCTCCTCCAGCTCCAAGCCCTGCCATGGGCAGGGACCCCTTCCACTAGAGCAGATTGCTCCAAGCCCCTGTGTCCAACCTGGCCTTGAACACTGCCAGGGATGGGGCAGCCACAGCTTCTCTGGGCACCCTGTGCCAGCGCCTCAGCACCCTCACAGGGAAGAGCTTCTGCCTAAGAGCTCCTCTCAGTCTCCCCTGTTCTGGCAGGTTCAAGCCATTCCCCTTGGCCTGTCCTTACAGGCCCTTGTCCAAAGCCCCTCTCCAGGTTTCTTGTCGACCCTCTTAAGGTACCTCTCTTTAAACAATATTTGTGCTAAAAAGTTGAAGAATTAGGTTTTTTTGGCAATGTAAATTCTTTTGCCTTAGTGTTTGGTTATGTCCACTATAATATTCAGGTCATTTTTGTATTATAACAAGTTACTCCTCTTTCTGCATTTGATTCCTGACTATAACCCCTTTCCTGTACATGTTGTTATTGAATTCTACTATGCTGCTGTCGCACCACTTTTGCACTTTATCGTGATCGTTTTCAACTGCCATAATGTTCTTTGAAGTTTTGTGTGTGTTGGTTTGATTTTTTTTTTTTTTTTTTTTTTTTTTCCTCTTTTCCTCCCCATTTTTGCCAGTGGCAGTTCTGGTAAGAGTGTTCTGTATTCCATTGTCTAAATCATTAATGACAGTGTTGACCGAAACCAGACCCAGCAGACACACACCCCTGCAGGAACCTCCAGTGTGACAGTGAGAACTTAGTAGTTTGAGTGTAGTGTCCCAGCCAGCTGCACACTTACCTGGCAGTAATGTCATTAAACAATGCCATAATATCATTAAATAGCCAAAGTTGTGTTGGGCAACTGTATTAAGTGTCTTTGTAGAAGTTAAGATGCTTCACACTGACCATAACTTTTGAGTTCTGTACAGGGTGTTGTGGGAGAGCTGCACTGATTCTGCATTGTTTTCCCTGAAAAATGGTGGTTGTCACCCTGTCTTGTATGTGACTAATAACTTGGTATATTACGAGGTACTGAAAAAGGGTGACTCATCTGCATTTCCTCAGATCTTTTCTGCTTTGTGAAGGAAAAAGGGATTGGTTTCCTCTTTGAAGCCAGGGGAAAATCTGGTAGTATGTGAGAATACGTGACAATAACTCCAATTAATAATGCCTTTGTTGACAGATTTCACTGAGCTGTAAATAACTGTGAGATAATTTAGTGTGTGCTGGCATGATGGATTTCATATTGCTTATTGTTCTGAAAGTTATGTTCTGGCCTTGTGCCTCATGATAGTTAAATAGCATCATACAGCTTTCCAGTATATAGACATTCGATAATGTAGCCAGGCTGAATTCTGTTATTGGTAATTGTCTGCATCAGTGAGAATGATTCCTGATGTCTGCAGTGTGTGTGCTGGGATATTTACATTACAGCTGTGCTCTGCTTTCTGTATTCTGTCAGGGAGAAGTGCAGAGCCAGAGCCACAAAAACTTTCTTCTCGTATTCATTCTCCTGTTATTGTGATGGGTGCTCCCAATTACATGTTGCACTAATAGCCAAAAAGGGTGCTAAGCTGAGTAGCTCTATCAGAGACACATGTTTCAAGTTACTGTTTCTTTCTGCCTTTGGCAGTCACTTCTACAGCTCCTCCTTTACTTGCGGAGGGGAAAAAAAAGAAAAGAGGCATGGTGACGAAGACAAGAAGCTGTTATGCTGGCACATTGACTGTATCATTTGTTTTATAGAGAGCACATTAGAGATTAATGTTCAGTGTGTTTAATTTATCCTTTCTTTTTCCAGTAATCCAAAGTCTGCTAATCAGAGGATAAACAAAAAAGTGAACAACGATGCATCACTAAGGATTCAAAACCTGTCTATTTTGGTGAAACAAATAAAAACTTACTATCAGGTCAGTAGTTGTTTCTTGTATTGTGCTTTGCCTGGAATTGTTTTTGAGTATTCTTTTATAGTTATGCCTAATAACAAAAATAAGAATATTTAGAGATACTTCATGGGTGGTGTATAAATCTGGTCACGTTCTTCATCATGGTTAATTTGCAGCTATGGTAGTAGTCTGGAAACACTTGGATGTGAGCAATGATGATCTGTTTATATAATAAATATTCTGCATGTTTGAATACTCATAGTACATTAAGCAGTATCGGTTGGTGTTTTTGAGTTGTAGCAAGTTTTGTGCCTATTAGAGAAGTCATCGCATGTGCATTTAGTGTTATCATTGGAATCTTTGTAAGAGAAATGTGATGAAATTTATTGGGCTTAGAATTGATTTAATTTTCAGGAGGAAATGTCAGTGAGGTGACAATGATCAAATAGGAATTCATAGTAAATGCAGTGATGATCTAATCTAGAGCTGTAAAATGGGCATTGAATTTTTGTGTGTTTTGTGTAATAGGTAAGAGCTGGTACCATCCCTTCTAGCCTGGAGAGAGTGGTGTACACATGGGCACGCTGTAGTAGAATCATAGAATGATTGGGGTTGGAAGGGACCTTAAAGCTCCTCCAGCTCCAGCCCCTGCCAAGGGCAGGGACACCTTCCACTAGAGCAGCTTGCTCCAAGCCCCTGTGTCCAACCTGGCCTTGAACACTGCCAGGGATGGGGCAGCCAGAGCTTCTCTGGGCACCCTGTGCCAGTGCCTCAGCACCCTCACAGGGAAGAGCTTCTGCCTAAGAGCTCGTCTCAGTCTCCCCTGTTCTGGCAGGTTCAAGCCATTCCCTTTGGGCTGTCCATACAGGTGCTTATCAATAGTCTGAGGTATTGTAAGACTGTTGCAAGGTAGGAATACACTGCAGATATCATCAGTATCCCTTGTAGTGTGTCCTTTAGTGCCCTTCCACACTTCTCTGCTCCTTTTTGCCAGAAGAGTCTACATCTGGGAGAAAATCTTTGATCTGCTTCTGGCAGTGCATCATGGCAGAGCCTGCACTGATGTATGCTTTGCCTCATGTGTACACACTTAGTGTGTTTTCAGAAACTCCAAAGCACACTGCCAATTCCCAGCTGTCACTTCCTGCAGTGGTCAACCACTGTATGTCTTTCTAGCTCACACTTTACACATATGCATGCTTCACATTGTTCTTTACTTGGCAGCTACTATACGTGGATCTAAGTGCTGCTGCAAAGGCCCATATGCTTCTCTATTTCCTGATGGTAATAATTTTCAACCAGGCATTAGTGTTTCACAACTGGTCGAACACTGGCAAGATTGATCTTACTTTGAATACAAAGCATTCCCTGTGCTGCTTTGGCTTTATAGTATCAGCAATGCTATCAGGCAGAATTGCTTGCGTTTAGGTAGCTTATCTTGGAATGACTCCAAATCTTTGTTAGAAATGTTTTATTATAGCTTTTTTAAAATAAAAAAATATCCTTAATAAATGTTAAAATGAGGCACCAGGCCTTTAGTGGTTCAGGTTTGTCCTGCGTAAGTGTGAGCTATATGGAACTGCATACACTTTCCCCCTCTTTCCCTCCTCACTCTCTGAGGCTTGTGAGATGCCAGCCTCCCCACACAGTACAAGTGAGGCTACATGCAAGCACTGCGGGTCTGGTATTTGAGTAGGAGTAAAGACATTTAGTAGCCAAACTGCAACACTTGTTCAAATGTAAAATTGCTTTTTCCATGTGTTGATGGTCACTCAGCGATGCCCACATGTGTGCAGGGAGCTTTACACATTGTGGTAGTTCACTGGGTTTGGAGAGCAGTGATGAAGGATGGGCTGTAGGCTTTGTTGCCTCTCAAGCGTAGTGCAGCCTAGCACATGGAGTGTTTCCCCACAGCCACTGCATGGGTTAGCAGGGTATCATAGCATGCTCAGTTTCAAGAAGGGGTCAAGTTAGTTCCTGTCACCTGTAAAATTACCCAAGGCAGAAAAGCTAGTGCCTGATGGATGCCTTGTAATCAGGCTGAGAGGCCACTCCTAGCCTGGGGTACACCTTGGCAGAGCAGAGGCATGAGCCCTCACACCTGAGGGCTTCAGAAAGCTGTACAGGTACATTGCTAGGTGTATGTTCTCAATGGGATGCCTGAGATCTGAGAGTCGTCAAACATATAAATAATGACTGTCTTGAGGTACAAGAGTAAAGAATGTCTGGAATGTTGCAGTAGCAATAAGATATTAATTGTAAGGGGGCTTTTAATTTTTAGCATTATGTTATCCTAACTGCTAAATCTAGAGAGAGACCTTTTTGTGGCCTTTCAGTACTTAAAAGGGGCCTATAAGAAAGATGGGGAGAGACCTTTTAGCTGGGCCTGTTGCAATAGGATGAGGGGTGGTGGTTTTAAACTAAAAGAGAGAAGATTCAGGCTGGATGTGAGAAAGAAATTCTTACAATGAGGGTGGTAAAACACTGGCACAGGTTGTCCAGCTGCACCATCTCCAGAGGCATTCCAGGCAAGGCTGGATGTGGTTCTGGGCAACCTGATCTAGTTGAAGACATCCCTGTTCATTGCAGGGAGTTGGACTAGATGAGCTTTGGATGTCCTTCCCAACCCAAACTATGCTATGAACTTTTTATTGTGAGCTTGTCCGTGCTAGTTTGTTCTATGTGTTTTTATACCACCTGTGGAAAACATTTGTTTAGCAAATTATTCCATTAGTGTGTTAAATATATTTATCAAAAAACCTGCACTTGCACAACATTGAAAATTAGAATGTTATGTGAGATTATACAAGGGTTTTGGTTCCTGTGTCAGCTTTGTTCTTCTTTGTAGTTAGGATTGCAGGTCTTTTTACCAAGGAAGCTGCTTTATTTGCTTTCAGCATCTTACTAGGTCCCAAACGAGTCTTTTGAGCCTGTAGGTGTGTGGAGGTGTTCTCAGCAGCTGATTCAGGAGAACTGATCCCCTTATAAGTTTTGGTGGGCTTGGGAGGTTTAATAGTGAGCCCCATGAGTGCCTTGTCAGCCTCATTTGGCAGATGATGTGCAAATCTTTAATAGAATAAATGCTAATGAACACTACAAGTTTGTACAAGCAGGATTCTGTAAATAGGTTTAGTTTATTTTTACAGGTTAAACAACAGTGAAATATGTGAATTTTGGGACACACGAGTTCCAATTGCAGGTTTTTAATAGAATAAACACAAATGGAGAGCAGTTGCAGCAAGCTTACTGATGAAGTTAGCACCGTGTGACAGAAAAGGTGGCAGACATCTTTGAAGCAGGGTAAAGGTGTTGTAAGAAGAGGTGATAATGGCATTGATCCTTAGAAGATACATCTTTTGGTTACCCCTGCTTGTACTGTGCTTCACAATAAGAAAAGCTTTATAATAATAATACATAATGATAAGCATCATGGAATTATTTGGGCTATTATAACAAAACAAAAAAGCCGCCAAGTCCCCACTTCTTAACATATGTAATTTTCATTTGTAGTATCTATAAATACTCATTGAATTCCTTATATTTTACCTGTTCTTTATTGATTTAAAACTTCCTTTGGGGCACTTCATATTTGTTTTTTTTTTTGTTTGAAAATTGGCTTTGTTGAGATCTCAGGATACGAAAGTAATGTTTGAAATTCATGATGTTTGAGTAGGTCAAAGCCATTTTCTCCCTTCTCATAATGTCTTAGGTGTGTGCAATCAGAGTATGTGTTTTTCAGTCTAGTATTAATTCAGATATGATTTTTTTATGTACCCCCATTTTCAAGAAGGGGAAATTGGATGACCTGCGGAATTACAGACCAGTCAGTCTCACCTCTGTGCCTGGCAAAGTCTTGGAGCAGATTCTCCTGGAAGGCATGCTAAGGCACATGAAAATCAACAAGGTGCTTGGTGACAGCCAGCAGGGCTTCACTAAGGGGAAATCCTGCCTGGCCAACTTGGTGGCCTTCTATGATGGGGCTACAGAACTGGTGGACAGGGGTAGAGCAGTTGATGTCAGCTACCTGGACTTGTGCAAAGCGTTCGACACTGTCCCACACAACATCCTTGTCTCTGAATTGGAGAGACATCAATTTGATGGATGGACCACTGGGTGGATAAAGAACTGGCTGGATGGCCGCACACAAAGAGTTGTGGTCAATGGCTCAGTGTCCGGCTGGAGACCAGTAACGAGTGGTGTCCCTCAGGGATCAGTGTTGGGACCGGTCTTGTTCAACATCTTTGTTGCTGCCATGGAGAGTGGGATTGAGTGCGCCCTCAGCAAGTTTGCCGATGACACCGAGCTGTGTGGTTCGGTTGATACCCTGGAGGGAAGGAATGCCATGCAGAGGGACCTCGACATGCTTGTGAGTGGGCTGATGCCAACCTCATGGAGTTTAACCATACCAAGTGCAAGGTCCTACACCTGAGTCAGAGCAATCCCAGGCACAGCTGCAGGTTGGGCAGAGAAGAGATTCAGAGCAGCCCTGCGGAGAAGGACTTGGGGGTGCTGGTTGATGAGAAAATGAACATGAGGCGGCTTCAGTGTGCGCTCGCAGACAGAAAGCCAACTGTATCCTGGGCTGCATCAAAAGGAGCGTGACCAGCAGGGTCGGGTAATCCTGCCCCTCTGCTCTGCTCTCATGAGACCTCACTTGCAGTTCTGGTGTCCTCAACATAAAAAGGACATGGAACTGTTGGAAAAAGTCCAGAGGAGGCCACGAGGATGATCAGGGGCTGGAGCACCTCCTGTATGAAGACAGGCTGAGAAAGTTGGGGCTGTTCAGCCTGGAGAAGAGAAGCTGCGTGGAGACCTCAGAGCAGCTTCCAGTGTCTGAAGGGGGCTATAGGGATGCTGGGGAGGGACTCTTCATCAGGGACTGTAGTGATAGGACAAGGGGTAACGGGTTCAAACTGAAACAGGGGAAGTTTAGATTGGATCTAAGGAGGAAGTTCTTTCCTGTGAGGGTGGTGAGGCACTGGAATGGGTTGCCCAGGGAGGTCGTGAATGTTCCATCCCTGGCAGTGTTCACGGCCAGGTTGGTCAGAGCCTTGGGTGCCATGGTTTAGTGTGAGGTGTCCCTGCCCATGGCAAGGGGGTTGGAACTGGGTGAGCATAAGGTCCTTTCCAACCCTAACTATTCTATGATTCTGTGTGTTACACTAACTGATATACAGGTATGTGTGATATTACAGGTGATAATTTCTACAGGTGTTTTCCAAGAATATTGTCATTTTTCAAATTTGGCACAAAATGAGTTGACTTTTAGGTTAGATTTTTAGTTTACAATATGACACCTGATTTGTGCCTTTTGGATGTAAAAAAAGGGGTGGTTTTGGAATACATTGCTTATGAATATGGACATTTTATCTGTTGATGAGAATGTCACTGTGGAAAAACAAAAAGCTGCTGATGGGATGGCATCTGCTGTGAATAAACATCTGGGAACAGGAGGAAGACCATTCTGCTTCAGAAGAATTAGGCTCTGTCTAGACTGGGGATTTGACCTGATTACAGCCACTACTGGCTGACAGGGGCTATGCATTGATGCAATCTGTGGAATAGGTGGGCAGAGCTGCTGCTTTGAGCAAACTAAACTCTGCTTGATCATGCAAATAAGGGTTTGTACCTTTATAGTTAGGATTTTGCCAGCATAACTGCAGCAAACCCCCTACTTTTCACGTCCATGTTTTGGCAGGGCCACTGAGACAATAGACATGAAATAGGGGAAATTGATCTTTGGGACTGTAAATGGAACTGAGAGCCAATAAAATAAATCTTATATCAATGAGCCAGCAAGAGAAACATGATCACTCATAACTTAAAGGGGTTTGCTACCTTCTGAGACACGGGCTGTAGTTGACTCAAGATCCGTTAGCCAGCTCATTGCCATGAAAGGGTTTTACAATGTTGTGATGATCTTGCAAACCAGTGAAACAAGGCTTTTGTACAAGTAATTCATAGTTGTAAGTTTGGCTTGTTGTTTTTCTTTTGAATTAGAGTCCAAATAATTAAGTATTGAACATGTGTGTATTAAGACCGGAAACATTTTAAACTACTTAATGTAATACAGTGTATGTAATGTAATTTCTCTTCAGTGATGGTTAGTATTTGATGTTTGTTTTTATTCAATGCATATGATTAAAACAATATTTTAATTAACTTTTGTAGGAGAATTTGCAGCAGCTGATCATGATGTCTTTGCCAAATGTATTAATAATTGGCAAGAATCCTTTTTCTGGTAAGTTTGGTTTTAACTCAGATGAAAATTCACATACTTATTATACCATTTCACTGGAAATAGCATTCATGTAGGACTGAGCCTTTCAACAGAAGGTTGTGTAAATACTTGTAGCAAATAAGGGGTTTCATAATGATGAGTAACATTTTCTTTGTTCACACCGAGGTCCACACTTTACAATAATGTGTTCTGTCCAAACCTCAGCACTGGCTGTCATTAGGATTTATACTGAAAGGAAGTGCATTCCCAAGCAACCAGTGAGCCACTGAGACAACAAAGTATAAGTTTCATGTGTTCCCAGTTACCACACTTTCAACTTTCTTTACCTGAGCCCCCCTGAGAGAAGAAGCAGTTCAATGCATCTCACATGATCCAAGTCCTAATCCTTGTTTTTCCTTCCCCAAAACTCTCCTGCTTCTCTTGCATCATTACCTGAAAAATATTGCAATGACCTTCTTGCTTTCTCCCCTGAACTGATACTGTCTTCTCCATGCTCCCACCTTCTCTGCTTCCAGCTCTGAGAGTTGCAATTTTCAGACCAAGAAAATTAGCCTGTGTGGACCCAGCTGACTATCCACAGCCACTTGGGAATCTCTGCACCATGCTCTCAATTCCAGAAGCACGGAGCAGACACACCTGGCCTGCATGGAGCCACTATGGATTGGGCAGAATTTATTTACTTGGGTCTAATGTGTCCCAGGTGTTCTACTTCTGATGTTCTAGCACCTCAGCAGAGAGGTTAGGAACTACTCTAACAGGCTGTGTAGCTTCCCCTGGCTGTTTTTATTCATTTAAGATGTCTTATATGCCATGCTTCTGTGTATGTGGGACAAGATTCTTCTCATGAGCAAGAAGCCCCATCTGTGTTACTTTGCTTTTCAGTTCCAGGGTTCATAACATTGATACTTTCCATATCTCATCTGCATATATGCCATTTCTGTAGGTATCCTGATTTGTTTGATTTTTCACTTGCTGCTTTTGAATATTGCTGCTTTTGCTTCAGAGGTCACAGCCTTTTAAGTTTCTCTATGTGTAGATGCTGTAGTCTGTCATATGCGCAAAGAAGTGTGAATGTGGACTCTTCTTTTCCAAAAGCATAGAATGCATTGTGCTTTTATAGTTTGATTCCAGGCTTTCTTAAGGTTTTCAAAAGCCTTCATGGCTTTGCCTAGAAACCAGATTTAGTGGAAAAACAGATTAAAAAACCCCAGGTCATAGTATTGTTTTTGCAGTGATATTTTTTAGTCTCTTCAAGATGCTGAAACAAAACTTGTCTTAACAATATTTTATCGTATAAGATGAAGTCTTATTTAAAATGCACTACAAACCCCCACGGAGCTAATGCAGTAATCAGTTGTATACATAGAAATCTGTTCTTTAGTCATGAAAACAGAGGCTTCTTCCTGTTTGGGGACCTCAGCTAAGTCTATGCAGCTTTTGTGGTTTGGCAGCTCGAACCTCTGCTGGTGTATGCCCTGCTCTCCTGTGGAGATGTTACTGGATTTGTGAGAAAATACAGACTTTACTGTAGCATAGCCCACATATTGGAAAAAGAAGTGCTGTGTACATACAGTATTCCTGAAGATGTTTCAGATTCCTGCCTGGGTTCATCAGAGAGTTTGATCTGAATCAGAAGATAGACCTGGTCTCTTGGGTGCCATCCAGAACCTTTCCCCTTTGAAACTTAGGCCTGCTCTCGCAGTGTCAGCTTGAAGTGGGCCTCATCCCTACAGGGATTTTAAAGCTTTTTCCTTTGGTGGGAAGTGTAGTGAAATCAAACCTCAGTGACCTTTTCAGAGACTTGCTGTGCAAATCTGATTGCACCAAGGCCAGTCCCCATAGTAAAAGTCGATTCTCTGATAATGATTTGGATTTGGTCCACTAAAGCTTAGGCTGTAGCTGTGATTTTTCACAGGGATGTCTCCCAGTTTTTCCCCTTTGCGCTTCAGGAATGATTATTAGAGAAATGCCAGAGGATGACAAATTGCAGAAGGCCAGGGCAGGTACGATCTCAGGAAGAGAAACGTGTTTGGCTGTATCAGAGGCAGTTGGCTAACCAGGGAAAATGCAGCTAGAATGCTAGATTTGAGCTGTGGTGTAAAAAAGAGGTCATTAGAGACTTGATCAGGAAACATTTCAGTGGAGCTAATTGGCAGGAAGCCAGTTGGAGGAGAGAACTGGAGGAGAAGTGCTACAGACTGTGACTGTAAATGTGAAGTTAAATTACAGAGGAAAAGGAGAAAGAAGATAACAAGGTGAATGTTCTTTAATGGGGGAAGAGGGAGGATTAAAACAAGTTTGTGTTTCTGAGGGAGCAAGCCTGAGGAGGATGGACAGCTACAGAGGGGATGGAAGTCAGGGATAAGAGTGAGTGCAAGGAAGATCAAAGGAGGACAGGGTAGGATAGGGACAAAGTTCAAGTAGCAACTTGGAGGGTGTGGGAGAGAATGATCTATTTTTGTATTTGTAATGGGGACAAAAAAAAAAGGAAGAAAACCATAGAAGATGCTTGGTAACAGTGGGAAGCTGAGGTTGTTCAGTATTTTGCCATGTTTCCTCAGGCAATATGGGGAGAGACATGGAAACAATATTCATGTAGGCTTTTAAAAGGTGGTCAAGAGATGCTGAAGCAGAGTGTAAAAGGAGGAGTTCAGGGATTGCTTTAAAAAAAGGAGAAAAGAAGTGCTGAATTTATTAGGATAAATGAATGTAGGATGCGAGATGCTTGGATGGATTCCTTCAACTGCAGTATCCTGGTTAACCTTCATTGATCAAGACAGGCAGCCAGGTGGAATTCCCCTTCTTTAGCTGAAGTAGTGAGCTTCTGATGAAATATGTTCCTTGATGTTTTCTGTTTCTGTGCAAAAAGCTTCCCAGCACGAGTCTTTGGGAGGCAAGAAGTCTCTATAAATGATTAAGGCTCTCCCATTTGAGCTCATGTTCTTTGTAACCTATTTACTTGACAAACCTCTTTTGGAAAACTTAAAAGTTCCATGTTCATAGGGATTATACACACTTCCCTCTAACAAAAGCAGGTTCAGTCAGTCTTGAAATATACTTAATATTATAATGCACACAGAACTGGAGCCATAAGGAAGGTGGAGAAGCTTAACATTTATCTTTCATCTCTGCTTTACGGCAGCAGGCTTGACTCTTCACTGAAAGCTAGTAATAAACATTGAGTTTTATGTCCTTTTAGGTGTTTTCTTGATTTCTTTTTAATTTCCTCTTTTGATCAAGATTGCCTCATATCTGTAACTTTTTGAGAAGGAGTTGACATTTAATTCGCTAGCAAAATACTGTGGATCAAAGCAAAAGACAGTTTGCTTGTAAGTGAATAGTTACATCTATCTCATGTGGAGGTTCATCCAAAATAGCCTTAGTTGACAAGTGTAGAAAAAGATTGCAAGTTGCCATTTCAGAAAGAAGGTTCCAATGAGTTTTCTTTTTGATGCTTATAGTCATCATAGAATCAACTAGGTTGGAAAAGACCTTTAAGATCATTGAGTCCAACTGTTACCCCTTGCGATCATTGGAGATAGTCTGTGATTACCAGCTGTGTCCTTCAAAAGAAGGGACTTCAGTAACTTAGATCAGGTTCCAGAATGACTGTGAATACTTTATTATATGCTAGACATTCGCTGTTTGGTATTTGGACTGAGTGTGACTCTTGGTATCAGGAGTAGTTATACCAGCTGTGTCACAGAGTTTTGCAGAACAGAAGTCAGGTTTCTAGCCAGACTCAGCATTATTATATTTGAGAGCATAGCTTTTGTCTGGTTAGCTAACAGGAAAATAAACTACTGGCTGAAACTCAGATTATATTGGAGAAAGGATCCTGTTAGGGTCTTTTTATTCCTAGATAGCCACATGGATAGTGTTTTCTGTTTCAGTAAAGCTAAATGATATGTGAGCATATAGAATTTAATTCCAACCAGCCCAAGCTATTTTGTCATCCTTAAATTGGTTGCTTTATGGCATTTACATTCTAGATACAGCATATATGTAGTAGCAAGATGAGGATGTTTCAAATGCAAAAAATAAGAAACATCTTCACTGTAATCTGTAAACGGAGTCCTTTAACTTAAGCTTCTTTAGGAGATTAAGATGCTTAAAGCCAGATGTGGAAATATATTTTGATTTTTAGATGTGCAGATTCTAATACAGCTTTAAAAATAATTCAAATGAACTCATCACCCAACTCTTACAGCCTGGGGGTGTCAGATAATTGAAGTACTTGTTAGAACTATCTTGAGATATCTGAGATTACAGTTGAAAATGTGATTGTAGGTCTCCAGAGCACTTCTGAAAATGTCACTCACAACTTCTGCCTTACAAAGGGCTGAAATGCTGTGGGTTTTTCCACTTAAAGATGTTATGGCTGTTAAGCTGTTTGTTAACACTGAAAGTTGGCAGTTGAATGGCAAAAAGGACTGAGTTGAAAGCTGGCAAAATGGGGTTTTATTCATCTTTTTGCTTTGTAAACTAGGTTATCATAAGTTACATGAAAACAAAGAGAAAACCTGGTGTTTTCTGAGGGGTAGGGCAGGAAGCTCAAATTCCTAGTTTACGCCTACCATTTTCTTACAGTTCTGTTTTCCTCTTAGAGCCAGGTACCGAAGAAATAAAAAAACTCCTTCTGCTTTTACTTGGTTGTGCAGTTCAGGTAAGTTTAATGATGTTGATGTCTGTGTGAAATAGTTTTAAGTGTTACAGATCTCTTTTCGTACTATTTTAATGCTTTGACCTTCCTTTCTGTATTGGTACTATTGCCTTCCTGGAAAATACAGATCTTACAGTTAAAACGGCTACAGCATCTCATGTTTTATTGTACAAATATAGCAAACTCTATGTACAATTTCTAATAGTTATTAATTGATTAATTGTAATATTGTTATTTACCTGATGCCATAAGGAAAGGAAGAAAATGGTGAAGTATTACTTCCAATTATCTTACTGATAAATCTTACTAATAGTGTTTCTCGTATTTAATGAACTTTTTGGATGAGCTGATGTTCTTATTAGGGAAATTTGTACCATTCAGCTAATTAAAGTGAAAAAAATAGAGCCAGTTATATGTTCATAACGACTTAAATAATTGAGTACTAAAGGAGGACACTGAAAAAATTCCTGTGGAACTCACTATCATAAAACGTGAACAAGTGTCTATTTTAAGAAATCTCTTCCTTGCCCCATTTCAATATCTGTTTTTTCTTTATAATTTTGGTAGTGTTGAAAGTTATAGTTACTGTAACACGGCATAAACCAAGTATTTATTGGTCTACAAGATTACTGGATAATAATTCAGTAATGTGATATTGTGTCAGCTTTATTATTTTAGCTCTTAGATATGCAAAGGAAGAATGAAAATACAGGTATATATGTAAAAATGTATATAAAATAGATGTCTTTATTTTTAGTGTCAGAAAAAGGAAGAATTTATTGAAAGAATCCAAGGTCTGGATTTTGACACTAGAGCAGCTGTTGCAGCCCATATTCAAGAGGTATATTGGGGTTTTCTGTGCTTTTAACTTATTTGGAGGTGGAATGTTGTGTTGTAGGAAGATTAATCACATTTGTTCAAAACCAAGTAAATCAAGTATGTGATTTGTATACCAAGTGGTTTTAGTAAGCCAAAAATGCCCTCATTTTTTAACGTGGTTCACAGAAACATTTCATGATTGAGGGGTTTTTGGCCTACATTGTTAAAGCAGGACCAGGGAGCAAGTTTGTTGCTCCAAGAAATTCTTATTGTAGTTTAGTGAATTTGTCATGTGCAAATTTATTTATAAAGTATACTTCTAATCCCATGTATGTGCTATGTAATAGATACTAAGTCATAGTCACCTTTTGCTTCTCATTTTGGTAGAAGTACAAGGTGCTACTTTGAAGTATTCCATTCCTACAGTTTAATCTATTTTAAATGGTTTTCCATACCTTGTCTAGAGAGTTTAACCCATAAAGTTTCAGCCTTATTTTCTTTATGCTTCCTTTCTATCTCATAATTTAAAGGGAATGGTTTTTCTCTTCCATTTCATTCCGTGCAGGTAACTCATAATCAGGAAAATGTGTTTGATCTCCAGTGGATGGATGTCATTGTACTGACACAAGAGTATGTTGAACCTCTCTTGAAAAATATGGCATTACATTTAAAAAGGCTTATAGATGAAAGAGATGAGCACTCAGAGGTATGGATGTGGTTTTTTGCTTAAGAGAAGTATCAGAAATTCTTCTAAGATGATCCAGCTTACCACTTTTATAACTAATAGTTTAATATGTGTTCTGCTAGCATATATAAGCAAGGATTCCTTACTGCCAGAAAGCTGTTTCAGGTAGAGTTGGTGTGCATACTAGTTGTTGAATACTGTGACAAACTCGGAAAGGTCATAGCAGATGATCTTCTCCATGTAACCAGAGTCTGTAACAACTTTAAATAACCTTCCTCTGTAGCTAGAAACAGAAAATCCAAAGCTGTATCAGCTGAACTTTCCAGGATTCACTAAACAGTTTGCAGGCCATTCACTGAAAGACGTCTGTCACATTACTGTATCCTGTTATACAGGTTTGAACTGGAGCAGGATCCGTACTAGGAGAAGGAGCTTTTACAAGCTTAGCATGTGGTACAGTCACTGTTCTGTGTGAGAATCAAGAAACAGAAGTGTATTAAATAAAACCTGCAATTTATGGTGGTCCCAGTAGAGTGTGGATATGTTCATGTTCCAGTTATTCCAAATGTTCCTTTGACATCAACTGTCTGTCCAGTTCACAGCCTTAATGAGTAAAACAGAAACTGGACAGTGAGGCCAGACAATGTGTGGTAATGCTTTTCTGCAACAAAAAGGAAAAGTAACTTTAAAATACAAGAGATCTTCATATTAGGATAACACCTTTATGTATAGGATGAACTAGGAATATTCCTATAGGGCTGATGCTTTACTCATTTGGCAAGGATGCTGTTGCTCACTGAACACCAGTTTCTGTAGAGATACATGTTTATCCTCATGTTCAAGGAATTCATGCCCTTTCATGACCAAATCCATTCTGAGCACTGATAGTTTTGTGGACTTAAAAGGTGAAATATGAGTAGTTTAAGAACAGTCAAATGGTACTGTTAGAGGTGTTTGCTTTTGATTTGCTTTAGGAACAGAGGTGTGTTTTAGGGCTTCTGACTTCTTCTAGGGCAAAACTTTTCCATTATTCTTTGATTAATTGAGGCAGTGAATTATGGCAGTTTCTGACATAAAAGGCTCTCTGAATGCAGTTTTGTATTGCTTTATCTCTTTATTTTTAAAACTCCTTAGACTATCATAGAACTCTCGGAAGAACGGGACTGTCTCCGTTTCCTACCTCACGCATCAGCAGCACAATCACCTTGTGGATCTCCTGGCATGAAGCGCACTGAAAGCAGACAGCACCTCTCAGTAGAGCTAGCAGATGCCAAAGCAAAGATAAGAAGGCTTAGGCAAGAGCTGTGAGTACATGTACATCACAGGAGTGTGTTCAGAATGACAGGGATTTAAATGTTGTTTATTTCACACAGTAGTAGTTCCCTCTAGACAAATCCTTCGTTCTTTCAGGTGTTAAATTACAGTTTTAAATGCTTTTTTTTTGCTTACTGCACCCCAGGAAGCATAGTTTATAATGTGAACATATCTGGGGACCAGTGTGACAAATGCAACTTTTCATCTGTGTTTGTCTTAATTTGTCTTATGAATTATATTAATGCTTTAACCATAAACACATGGAAATCAGTGAACTGGTGCTGTGCTAATTTTGTGCCTTTTGTACTCTGAACTGACTGTGTTTGAGCAATCCCTTGAGCATGTTACAATGCAGTACTGAGCTCTTTGTTCTACATAAACTGTTTGTCTTTTAGAAAAACGGCTAATCTAATGCAGCCTTGCCTCTTCTCTTACATATTGCCTCCATATTGTTGTTTCAGAGGCAAGTTCTTTGTGCTTCCTCTGTTGTTCATTACCATTAATGACTGTCTGACTGTAGTTTTAATGTATCTGTGTTTATATATGCTTCTAAGACAATAGCTCTGCACTTGAGGCAGTTATGGGGTGACACTCAAGAACAATTACATCGCAGGCAGGTAGGGACTGAAAGCAAGAGATGTGTCTTCAGCATTCCAGGATTAGTGACAAAAACATCCTTTTTAAAAGGAGATTGTGCTGTAGCGATTCCTGATCAGCAGCATGATTGAGTTACCTGTTTCTTGTTGGAAATAGAGTAAGAAATAGTCATCTGTGGTTCATTTATGGTTTATGAAACATCTTCACTTGTTGCAGATAGGAAGAATTTATCATTAATTTCCTGTCCCCCATCTCTTTGTTTCTTTCTGTGTAGAAGATCCCTTGTCTGCACAACACTTGTTTGCTCATGTCCTTCAGTGCTGTTTCACTCTACAGAGAAAACTGTAGAGTGCCATGCCCCTTTACAGATAAAAATGAAAGAAAGAAAGGGAATTCTGCAAACCAAACTCCTCTGAATCTCTTGACCCACTGCAAACCCGGATGCAGTGAAACAGACCTTAAGTTTACTGTCAGGGGTGGTCATTTATGTTTAAGGAATATATAGTTTGTAAAAGGAGTAAATTCCATAGCTTGGGTCAGTTATGGTTTCTTACAGTTTCCAGCTTTTACATTCATCTAGTTAAGGGTTTGCCCTATTTTCCTACTGATGGTGACCTCTTAGCTAGGGGTATATTCCCCTCCTTCACCTCATCCAAGTGAAAAATTAGTCCCGTTGTAACAAAGGTCTTTGTTTTTCACATTTTCATTAAAACCTCCTTTTATCCCTGGTATTTTATGAAGAAAGATAGTTGAGTAAGTGGGTACTTACTCTGTCTTCATAGTCTTGAAGCAAATCTGAGCAGTAGTGAAGCGTTAGAGAACAGTAACTGTCAAGTGGAGAACCTGTTTCTCCCTATAGCAATGTGTAATGTTGTTTTAGCAGAAGTCTGTGCAATCTGAACTTAAAATACAAACATCACATCTGAAGAGATTCAGTATGTAAAACAGCTGGATATAGTTTAGAAACAGCATAAATAAAGAGATTTTTCTTTCAATCCATCATATCTCATGGAGAGAGGAAACTGGTAGAATTAAATGGAAAGTTGAAGGTAGCAGAAGTCAATTACCAGCTCACTGGTCTGCTCTTAGCAGCGTTTGTGATCAGATCATCTCTAGCTGGCTGGGTTAAGTATCTGGTTGATTTACTCAGAGCATCCCCTTCCCCCACTACATCCTGGTCTTCATGAAGAATAGAGGACAAAAAGATAGGGCTCTTTTTTTTCCTGATGTCTGTATTATTATGTGTCTACTGAAATGAGCCCGCCCAGGATATTCTATAAACAGCTGCACCAAGAAAATTAGTGAAAAAATTGCTGTTATTAGTTTGATTGACAGTTAATAGATAGCCTAAACACTGCACACTGCTATGCTCTGTATAATTTAGTACAATCCTCTCTAGTCTGGAGCTGAAGCATGCAATTAGGGCACCAGTGATGGCTCAGAACATCTCACATTTTGCACTCTACTTGAATTCAGTTCGTAAATAAATTTCCTTTATGCATAGCAGTATATTTAAAATACTAGACTTTGATGAATTAACTTATGTATGTGGCATTTGGTATTAAATGCTGAGTGGATTTGATAAATTTAAAATTAGATTCATTCCAGAGTTGAAAATGTTCAGCTGAAAACCTATTTATAATCTGGTTTTGGCAATGAACCTGGTTTAAGAGGCACTGCAGCTAATACAGTTTCATACAAAGGGTCTGTAAAGATGGTTCTTTCAGTTGGATGCAAAACAGCTATTTGAGGCTTGTAATAGAGAAACCCCAGAACTGGAAATTGCACACCTAATTTTCTATATTGCATCCTGTGTCTTTCTGTGGAGAACAACAATACAGGAATATGAATGTTAATAGGAAAGTTACAGTGATCTAACATAGCAGAGAATACATTTGTATTCCTGTATGGTTTCTGAACACCGATGCAGAGGGAAAGCTCTGGTATCTGCTGTGCACAGTCAGCTATGCATAGATGAACCTTTGTATACTTGGAGGCTGTCAAGAAACATAATTCATGGTGAGATTTGGCTCATTTTTAAAAACAACTGGTCTAGTTTTGTTTAAAACAAATATATTTTTCATTAGTATGATGACTTTTAGATTGTATTGTATGCTTCAATCCATTAAATTCTCTTATTTCCTCCTTTTTGTTTCATATTTGTATTCCAGAACATTAAATAATACAGTAACATGTTTGACTATGCAGTCTATCTTTGATAGATCTGAACTATTGGATATGGCAGGTTTTTTCAACAGTGAGTACTGGTTGTTGTGAGGTGCAGTTGAACTTTGAACACTGGGTATTCCATGTCTTTGAGAGAATTGAATATTTCCTTTGCACTTAGTGTTTCATGAGCTCATTTGTTGAGTATTGAGAAGCTGAAAGTGAAGAATTAGTCCTGTAAAAGTTGTAGGATTCTATGTTTTTCTTATTACAGAGATCTCCATAGACTAAAACAGACACCGTGGTGTTTCCATAAAATTGAAATGCATTAAGCATTTCATAAAACTAAGGTTGTGAAGTTCCTCATTCTTTTAATGGATAAAGGCATCTGAAAACCTTCATTCTTCTCCCTAGGAAAAATAACAAGAATCTAAAGGTGCTTTGTGAGTTGGCTTTAGCTGCTCTGTGACAGGGTGTATCAGCGGTCACTGTCTGGTTCTCCTGGGAAATATTTGGACCTTTTCAATGTATATTTTGAAATTAGCCTAAGCTGAACCCAGGACACTCACAAATCCTAGCGTTTTGTTGTCAAATGAGATGATGTTTAACCACGTTTTGCAGTTACATCCAACTGGTTTGTGTTTTCTCTTTTAAGTGAGGAAAAGACTGAGCAGTTGCTTGACTGTAAGCAGGAGCTTGAGCAGATGGAAGCTGAACTAAAGAGACTTCAGCAAGAGGTACAGGGTTTGCAGATGTATTGTTTAACAAAAAAAGGGGGAGAAAAAAGTGGCCACCACCAGAACAATTCCCCTTCCTCCCCCCCTCTCTTTGTCTTAGAAAGTATGTTTTCATGCATTTCTTCATTTTGCACTCTGAACATCAAATCATAGAGTGGCTTGGGCTGGAAGGAAGGAACCTTAAGGTCATCCAGTTCCAATCCCCTGCCATGGGCAGGGACACCTTGCACTGAACCACGTCACCCAACACTCCGTCCAACCTAGCCTTGAACACTGCCAGGTGTGGGGCATTCACCACTTCTTTGGGCAACCTGTTCCAGTGCCTTATCACCCTCACAGTAAAGAACTATTCCTTATATCTGACTTATAAAATACACGTTTTTTTCTTTACCCTTGTCAGTATTAATGTATATCCCCCTGCATTACCCCAACTTAAGTACTGAAGCAAACATATTACCCCTCAGCATGTACTGCCCAGTATTCTTGCCTTTAATTTCTGTGTTTTTGTATTTTCTAGAATATGAATTTACTCTCAGATGCCCGTTCTGCCCGAGTGTATAGAGATGAATTAGATGCCCTTCGTGAGAAGGCAATTCGAGTCGACAAGCTTGAAAGTGAAGTCGGCCGCTATAAAGAGAGGCTGCATGATATTGAGTTCTACAAAGCTAGAGTGGAGGTATAGTAAGGAAAAAACCCACTGAATAACCATCATTTTGTGTTCGGTCTGGCTTTCTCAAAGTTATTTTGATGACTGAAACATTGGGATGTAAAAACAACGTCACAGCTTCTGGCTCTGGGATGTATGATAGTCAGTCTTTGTGATAAGTAACAGTTTTTAGGGAAGAGTCCCTGTGTCTAATGGCATGCAGTCTAATTTGAAGTCAGCAGTATTCACCCTAGCTCTAAGCCAGCAAGATCAGTAGGAGCCTCTGTTTAGGATATTGAGAAATCCAAGAAGGAATTACTTAAAATTAGGCTATAAATGTGATAATTCATTTCTCCTCTTGCGGGTCTTCTAAGAGAAGGTAATTTTCCAAGTGTTGAGGAAATAGTGGCTATACATATAAATAAGTGTAGGATGACTGCATTCCATGGGTAAAATATACTAAAAAGACATACACTGATACCAGCCAAGAGGCACCTACAGTTCTGTCATGAATTAGGAGTTTAGGAAACCAGTCATCAGCATGCAGGATTTTATCAGGCCGTAATTCTGCCTGTAAATGGCCAAATTGTTGGGTGAATGTCAAGGCGGCAGAATTTGTGAAAGAAACATTTGTGGAAGTCAAAACTAATGTAAGTTTAAAGGCATTTTCAAGGTGTTTATTGAAAAAAAGAAACTCTTAGAAAACCTGGAAGGACTCGAAACGAATGCTTGTTGGAAAAATATGATGTTGCCTAGATGTAGTTGCTGAGATACTGGTATGAAGCCCTTTCTTCAGAGTCAAAAAGACTGAAAAGCAAAACCAAGATAGTAGGCTAGGTTGTGGCATGGAATATCTGTACATAACTTCTTCATTTAATGTGGCCCCTTGGATTAGGGCCTGGATAGGATCGCAGGCGTTCATTCAGTTCTTCTGCTTTAAGCATGGTATTTTTTATATACCCATTCCCCTCCAAATAAAAGCTTGGTGCTAGCCAGGGCTTTAGGACCTGGGTGATGAGGTGTCCACAGCCTTTTATAGCAGCTTTTTACAGCAGCCTTTCATACTTTAATGATGGCTTTACCAGTTCTGAATTCTGTGTTTTCTCTGCACCTTCCAGTGTAGGAACTCCAAAGCAACACCTCAACATTGTGATCTGTGATAACCTCCAGATTCTCTTCCCACTGAACTGCTGCCTAGACATGATACAATATCCCCAATGATCTAGTAATTGCATCTGAAAAATGTCATAATACTAATGACCAATGATAGAGCATCCTCTAGAATGAGTTGAAACCTTTAATGAATGTATACTTCATATGTCACAGCATGAAATAGCTACTACTGATACAAGCTGATGATAATGAGAAGGGGAAGACTGCAAAGCAAAACCCAAATATTTTTGATGTTCAATGTAGATCCTTCATCTAAAATTTCTAGTGGCTTTATTGAGAAATAAAGCATACCAAGCAGTATGGGAATTACTTGTTTTTTAATGGAAAATTAGATGGAGAGTTTTTCCAAGGGAACTGCAATGTAAAAAAAGCTAACAATGGAGTGTACTGAGAGATAGGTGCATGGTGCAGGTCAAGATGTTGTTAGAGGTTGTTAAAATGTCATGGTTCCCAAGGCTTTTATTATTTTCAAGATGACCTGTTCTTAGCCTTGCTTGTGGAAATTAATTTTACCATCTTACTATGTAATGTGAAATGATCTGATGAAATTGGAAGAAGCTTTCTCAAGATATACCAAATACATACCTCAGTAGCTGTCACTGAAGCATCCATTCTTAGGAGGCTCCAAACCTGCCCTCACACACCACTTAAAAACACAGGCTGGGAACCACATTCCAGCTGTGGATCTTTTCTCAGTGCTCGACATACTTTAAACAAGATGTTGCTGTTCAGCACGAGCTCAGTGATAAAGGTCCAGTGCTGTGATTTATGTTCCCAAATTTCCTCAAAGTTTGTTGGCTGTTACCTACATGATGCAGTAGTTTAGCGTACCTGGGGCTGTTGGAAAATCAGGTACTCTTGAGTGGTAAGCATTAGCATGAGCTTAATAATGCATCTTAGAACACCTTTGTGTAGGAGCTACTTGAAAACCATCTGACATGAATGACTTTCTAAGTCGTGATCGTATCTACTACTGTTGTAAGAGGGACTGAATGCATATGTTTAAAAAACCCGGTAAAGGAAAAGAGAGTAGTGTACAGGATTTGAAATCACTGAAAACATGTCGAAACTGTAAAACCCCCTAAAATTTGTTTACATGTTTCACAGCTTTTAAGCTCTGATTTTTCAAGCATGCTTGAATGGAGACAGATGTTAATTAGTTGGGTTTGCTTCATAATAATAATTATAAGTTAATATTTGTGTAGGGAGGAGTATGAAGGATAAATATTTGTGTTCTGTTCACTGATCTTTATTTCAGAGTTTGCAGCTGAAGTGTGAAAAGTTGTCTTTAGATCATGAGTAAAATTGCCAGCTATATGTTTTTACCCAATATTATTTTCATCAGATGTCATTTAAAAAATCCTCTATGTACATAAATCAAAGCCGTTTGGGACCTTTGATTGTGGTTGTATTTTAAGAACACGGTTGCATTTCAGCATCATGTCCTGACTTTGGGCTTAAGTAAGTTGTAAAGCTGATTTATGGCCTATAGAAAAATTACTCTCAAGTTTTATCCTCCATAGCCTGCAAATCAAAGACTAAGGAGTTCAGTGTGATAAGATAAATTAGGGACTGAGAAGGAGTATCTCCATCCACCTCCAGTCTTTGACAGTGGCCAATAGCAGATGCTTAGAGGAGAATAAAAGGAAAGGGCAAGCACTTGATGGTGCTTTCCTGTTGTGCTCTCCAGCCTCCAGCTTAGGAAAATCACACTCAGAGGTGGTACTTTGGGGCTTTCTGCCCTTCTCTTGCACGAGTTAGGTAACTTAACTCTCATACATGTAAGCCTTTTACATCTACACAATAATGTAGCAACAAGCTCCACAATTCAGTTCAGTGGTGTGTGAAGTAATTCTGTTTGTTTGAGCCTGACACCTGTAATTTATATTTGATGTCAGTCTTTTGCTTAGCTGTAGTCCATATATGTGCAATACATCTTTCCAGATCACATCTCAAATCACAGACGTACTTATGGTTTGATTGATGAACACCTTACTTATTCCTGTGTGCTTTAGGGACTATTTAATTTCTCTTAAATTATGTAAAATTTACATTTAATGAAGATTTCATAAGTTAGTTATGTGAAATTGCTTTAAATATGGGGGCTTTATTTAAATAGTCTACTACAGCTTCCAAATAAATCTTATAGTTTTAGCGCAAGCTTTCTAAGGCTAGTTATCAGTTATGATGTGTATCAGCGTTTGTGTGGAAAGGAAATACTTCTGTTGTGAGTTTTTTCTTGTTGCTTAATTCCTGCAGGAGTTAAAGGAAGACAATCAAGTGTTGCTAGAAACAAAGACAATGTTGGAAGACCAGTTAGAGGGGACCCGAGCCCGTTCTGATAAATTACACGAGTTAGAAAAAGAGAATCTACAGTTAAAAGCTAAATTACATGATATGGAGATGGTAAGTGGAGGATGGCAGAGACAACTGATGCACATTGAATTTCATATCCATTTTTAATAGAAGAACTTCCAGTCCCAATAGTGGGAGAGAGGAGGAAGGAATGTCTTGAATTACTGTAACAATTTATAGAGAAGGAATTATAGAGGAGGAAAAATTGCAAAAGCAGTATCTTCCTAAAGGCAAGACAGTGCGTAATAGCTAAAATATGATGATAAGAGTTACAGAGACTCATTAGTAAATATGACAGGATCCATTGGTTTTTTATGTGAAGATAGTGTGTTGTCACTTAAATACTTGGATGCAAGAGGTTATTCAGATTTCAAATGCTGGCAGTATAGTGACATATTTATCAGAAGGTTATTCCCAAAATAATTTCTGGGTTTAACCAGTTCTACTCCAAAAAGTAAATATGCTAAAATATAAAATCAATTTGATATATTACATATTATAATAAATACATTATCATGTATACTTTGTATGCTTTCTTTGCTGATAGTTGCAGAGAAGTGAACTTTGAAAAAGAAACAAGTAATCATTGCCATAGGTTCTGCTAAACAGAGGTTCTTCTCTGTGTAATTTTCTTTGCTAGTTGCAAGTTCTCCATACTTTTTCACTCCCTGTGTGTCAGGACACCAGAAAATGCACTTTTGCTTTTCTCTGTGGCATTCTTGATACTAAAATACTGTGTGTGTTGAGACATCCTTTTTCTAATGTTACATGTGAAATACCTTTTAAGGAGCGTGATATGGACAGGAAGAAGATTGAGGAACTCATGGAGGAAAATATGACTCTAGAAATGGCCCAGAAACAAAGTATGGATGAATCATTGCATCTTGGCTGGGAACTTGAACAGATAAATAGGACTACTGAACTTTCTGAAGGTAAACCTAGTAATACTTGCAACTTCATAGATAAAATAGAAAACTTGGAAGCTCATTTAAGGTCCTGGATTCTGTAGCACAGATCTTAAGTTATCTTGCTTTACTATTCTCCAAGTTAAAAAAGACTTTTTAAGGCTTTTCAGAGTAATTGTTTGCAGAGGTAGCTATGGCAAGAGTTTTGAACCTTCCAACACAGCGTGCTTGGTCATTCATTGGATCCAGACAAATTATTTGTGGAAATGTAGAGATATATCCTCAGTTGCAGGAGACAAATCTCTGCTGTAATTAAGAGCATCAGGATGAGTAGAACATTTCCATTCATGCATCTACAGTGTTAACTGTTGGGTGAGGAGGGTGGGTCATTAATCCTGACTAGCCCTATTCACCAAGAGTGCATTGGAGGACTGTCAAAATCTTCAGCCCCCTAAGCCTAAAACTGAAAAGTCCCAAGAATTCGAGGTAATAAGTAATCTTTTTTTTAATGGTGTTTTTCTCTTACAGTGCCACAGAAATCACTTGGTCATGAAGTGAATGAACTGACATCAAGCAGGTTACTGAAGTTGGAAATGGAAAACCAAAGTTTGCTGAAGACAGTGGAAGAACTACAAAGTGCAGTGGGTTCAGTAGAAGGCAGTAGCTCAAGGATCCTGAAAATGGAAAAAGAAAACCAAAGACTTAGCAAAAAGGTAATAATCAGTGCCTGGTTTGAACTGTGTATGAGTTACTTGATGCTGCTTGCTGTTTTATGAATTGCTGTTGGTTTAGGTAAAGTATTAATGGAGCCTGAATAGTGTTTGTAAATTTATGGTAAAAAAAGAAAACCACCTCAGAGGTTTTTGTGTTTTCTGGGTAAGCTTTTTCATTGATGTAAGTCTGTGACCATTTTATTCAGAATGGTGTTACACCATTGGGGAAAAAATCACTGACATACTGGGGACATGATAAGTAATGAAAGTATTTTAAGATACTTGATAACCTTACATTGATTTCTGTAATTATTGAGTAGGGGAAATTATGTGTGTAGGGGTGAAGGGTGGTAGGGCTAAACGGAAAACTTGGTCATGTATCCTCATTCATAACTGAGAAAGTGAGAAGATGGGCCAGGGAACTGATGAGCAAGTGAATTAGAGGAGTTTGTCAGATATATCTGTGCTGATCTACAATATTTTACTCTCCAAATTATCTGTATCAAGTAGAGTCATTTAGTGATATTTATAGAGAATAAAAAATGGGAATTAATTACAGCGGAGTGAAATGAAATAGCTTTTTCTTCAGCAATATTTCAGATGTTAGGCTATTCTTGGAGTGGGAAAGAGATCATTAAAAATCCTAAATTGAAGGAAATCCCTCATGTATTCCACGCTCCTGTGCTTTTCCTGATTTCTTAACAGCATGGTGAGTTTTGCAGCAGCCTCTGTGCTGCTTTGGGTTTCTGCACAGTACTGGAATGAAGCTAGGAGTGTGCAAAAGAGGGAATAGGTATATGAGGTACATTATGTAATGTATATATATAAGATGTAGGTATATAATGTGCAAGAAAAGTTGGGGCTGTTCAGCTGGAGAAGCTGCGTGGAGACCTCAGAACAGTTTCCAGTGTCTGAAGGGGGCTCCAAGGATGCTAGAGAGGAACTCTTCATCAGAGACTGTAGTGATAGGACAAGGGGTGATGGGTTCACACTGAAACAGGGGAAGTTCAGGTTGGAGATAAGGAAGAAGTTCTTTACTGTGAGGGTGGTGAGGCACTGGAATGGGTTGCCCAGAGAAGCTGTGGTTGCTGCCCCATCCCTGGTAGCATTCAAGGCCAGGTTGGACAGAGTCTTGGGTGGCATGGTTTAGTGTGAGATGTCCCTGCCCATGGTAGGGGGTTGGAACTGGATGATCTTAAGGTCCTTTTCAGCCCAAACCATTCTCTGATTCTATAGAAGCAAGCAATAGTAGATTCTTGTGATTTTCTGACACTGTTCCTACCACTCTGGATGTCTGGCAATGTGTCTTTGCCTTACTTGCCCCTAGAAACAATGTTCTGAATGGTGATCAATTCAGCAGAAAGTAGAACAAAATGTGTTCTGAATCCTGAACACATAGTCTGCTTCTGTCTTCTCCTTTGCAAAAAACAGTGAAAGTGCCAATATCCCTATAAAATGTGCACTGGCCTGCTAAGCAAGGGACCAGGAACATCTGAGTTTGAGGGGAAGAAGGAGAGGGAAGCAGAAGACTGGTCAAACATTAGTATTCTCATCTCAAGAGAAGGATTTCATTCAGGTTCCGGCCTAATTGTTGCCATGCTTTTTGCAAGTTCCATTCTGCTACCTTTTGTGATTTTATTTCTCTGTATTCTTTAGCAGCAATATAATGCATGATTCAGATAACTTGTTTCTAAAGGTGTTCCCCTGCCTGGGAGCTGAGTTATGTCTGAACTCCTCTAGGATCGGGTAATGCATCAATGGACTTGAGTTAGAATATGACCCTTCCAGCAGATGATTCTTTAAAAATACAATGTGTCTGTTGCTTTTAAGTGACTAATTACAACTTATACCTATGAGAAAAATCACACTTGTCTATTTTCACTTATGAGCAGTTTTGTTGTCTGGCAGCTTTGCAGGCTGGAACCATTCGCCAGAACAAACCTCTGTGTTTAATTCCCAAGGAATCATCATAGTATCTCTTGAAAGAGTTAAGTAAAATTAAACACTCAACCCTTGTCAGTTAAAAGGGACTTGGAGGAACAGTTTAAATCTCACTAAAATGGAATTTTAAGAGAAAAAAAAGATGCTTGGAGAGGTATCCAGAGCCTAATAAAATCTGATGTTTTTCTTATGCAAAAGTACTTTATAGATACAGACTGAGCCAGGGAAAAGTCTGGCAGAAAGAAATTTACTCCTAGAAGAGATGAATTGTTTCAGATAAAGAATAGAAAATTCCATGTTATTCTTAACTTTAACCTTTTTATTCGTTTTTATAAGAGTACCTCCAACCCAGCTCAGAGCAATGCTGTTGTCATGTGTAAGTACGTTGTAAAAAGCTTGTTTCTTTTTCCCTAGCTTGAAGAGCTAGAGAATGAAATTAGCCAAGAGAAACAAAGTCTTCAGAACAGTCAAAATCTGAGTAAGGATTTGATGAAAGAAAAAGCACAGCTTGAAAAGACACTTGAAGCACTTCGAGAAAACTCAGAGCGCCAAGTGAGTAGCAGAATTGAAAGTCTTAATGCTGCATTGCGCTGTACTGTTCTCTTCCTGTGCTTTTTTGCAGGCATTCAGGGATTGTCAATGTAGCAGACTTGCCAAAAGGACCTATCTGCAGCAAAATAGCTTGTCTGAGACCTGCAGGCACTGAGAGACATGACTCATTTTTAGCTGAGGCTTGACTGTTAGTTTTAGAACTCTCTTAGTGTTCCGTAATGCTGCTGTGGCTTTCGTGGGCTGTGCATTTGCTGTGGTTGCTTAGAGGGCGTAGCTCAGCCAAAACAGAAAACTGGGAACTTTGGAGGTAAGCCAGGCACCTCTCAATGGAGGAAAACAGGTTCCAGACAGCTGGGCAGTGTTTGAAGTAATGCTGGAGTACTAATGAGAATTACAGCAGCCTGTCCCTCAAAGGGACCAGACCAGTGTAGCAGAGCTGCTCTGTTGCTGACCGTTCCTCCTGTGTCACCCGTAGTCTTGTTTGTTTGGGGTAGGATCCCTCATACCCAGCTTCATAATATTCCCTATACTGGAATGTTTTCTAGCTGTGGCTTATAGGTGGATGGCAGAATGTATTTTTGGTCACCAGAAACTGGGTCTTTATAAAAGATTTGAGCTGTATTTGGGAGTTTTCTGGATGTCGCTGGTTTTCCTGGGTCTAATGGGTGCTAACACCTTCTCAAGGGCTTTGCAGAGCAATTCAGGGGGCCTGTGGAAGGCAGTCATTAGGACACAGGAGTTATGGAAACTTCTGGAAACCCCATATTTAGTAATCAAGTTCTTCAGAATCAGAACTGCAGTTACCTTTTATACATTCCACTGATCCTTCTTGATGAGATCAGCATCTTTTTAAAGTACAGCATTATGAAATACAGAATGTTGTATTTCAAAGATCCTGATAGATTTAAAGGCCCAATTTAATCAGTAAATAAAATTCCAGACATAGGAAAGAAAGGAAAAAAAGCTTGGCATTGAAGCTTTACTTTCAGTTAAAGAGAACAGTAGGGATAACTTTAAAGAAAATAAGCCAGCTTGTCTTGTTTAGAAGTGTTAATTGCTATAAAAATTGATTTATTCATTGTATTAGAAGTGTACTCCAGGGAGAAAAGAACTAAGACTTTCTGGAATAAGTCCTAAGTCCCAATTCAGCCATACATAAATTGTTGTAAACGTGTTGGAGTAGGACTGACATTTCAGTGGGACTGTTTCTGCTTGAAATAACATACTTAGGAGCTGTGATGGGTTAGCAGCAGCTTTCATGTCTTTTACAAATCCTGTGCTGAAACTTCTGGGAGTCAACTCTACAAGGTTTATTGGATTTCATCAAAATTATGGATGCATTGATCATGATTTTTTGTTTAGTTTGGATTCTAGAGGCAGAGCTGATGGAAAGGAATTGTTCATGTGCAGTAAGATAGAAGAGAAGCTGCGTGAAGACCTCAGAGCTGCCTTCCAGTGTCTGAAGGGGGCCTACAAGGGTGCTGGAGAGGGACTCTTCATTAGGGACTGTAGTGATAGGACAAGGGGTGATGGGGTTAAACTGAAACAGGAGAAGTTCAGGTCAGAGATAAGCAGAAGCTCTTCCCTGTGAGGGTGCTGAGATGCTGGCCCAGGGTGCCCAGAGAAGCTGTGGCTGCCCCATCCCTGGCAGTGTTCAAGCCCAGGTTGGACACAGGGGCTTGGAACAACCTGTTGTAGTGGAAGGGGTCCCTGCACATGGCAGGGGTTGGAACTGGATGATCTCAAGGTCCTTTCCAACCCAACCCATTCTGTGATTGTATGGAAGTTGTGTTTTTAGACACCTGTTTATTAGTTTCTAGTTAATGGCTTCAAAACAGTTTATCATTGCTGGGATGGAGCTGTAGACCCTGTAATTAATAGTTGCATTCAGACTTGAATATGAAAGAATAGTCTATAATTTTCTCAGAGCAACCAGCACTTTTGCTTCTCTCCCAAGCAGTTTATTGTTGAAGCATCCTTTATGCTTTGTTATTAGTGTTTCTTTAAATATCAGTCTAAACAAATTGCTGGATTTTGCTCTCTGTTGTTACACACCCAAATAGTTTCAAGTGATTTGGAGTAACTGGAAGAGTCAAGAAACACTGAAATACTGAAAATGAAGACATAAATTCAGCCTTTATCCTTGTAGTAGATCTGGGAATATGTTGCTTAAGAAAATAACTCAGTTCCAATATGATTTACTTTCTCTGGAAGCTGTTGTGGAACATCATGTCCAAGGGTTCTTTTTAACTCAAAACTTAATGGAACTTTGCTGTGTTTCTTCCCCAAGTGTTACTGTCTGTGATCAGGATGCCCTCGTATCCCACAGTACTTTTTCCAAGTGAAATAAAGGCGCTTTTGTGGCTCTCACACCTCCCTCCACGTCAGGTTTGGTTCAGAACTTGACTGCAGGTTTGTTTTTTGTGGCCACACGGCTCTGGGAATTAGAGTTGAAGAGAAATAATCCAAGTCTGGTAAACACCAATGAAACTGAAACGATGCTGAGAAGCAGACTGAGCTTTGTGCTTGTGTTAGTTTTGGTTTTATGTTATCTACTAATAGCCAAGAGGAAGAGACTTGAAGATTCACTTTGACTTATTTTGTTGTCAAGCCTGCACCTGTGTACATACACAGTGTGTATAAAGTTTCAAATAAATACTTTAATTCAAATAAATAGAGTAAAAGGACATTTCTTGTTTTAACCTAAAATGAAAGAGAAATATGATGGAATCATTTACTCTTAGTAGCTTTCCATTTATATATGGAAATAATTACTTGTTGGCATATTGCTCACCAGAATTTACTGTTTTTCTACCCAAATTAGATTAAGCTGTTAGAACAAGAAAATGAACACTTGAATCAAACTGTAGCTTCTCTAAGACAACGCTCCCAAATCAGTGCTGAAGCCAGAATGAAAGAAATTGAAAAGGAAAATAAAATCCTTCACGAGTCCATTAAAGAGACCAGCAGTAAGTTAAATAAGGTTGAATTTGAGAAGAAACAAGTCAGGAAAGAGCTGGAGCACTATAAAGAGAAAGGGGAGAGAGCAGAAGAACTGGAGAATGAGCTGCATCGTCTGGAGAAGGAAAATGAGCTATTACAGAAGAAAATCACTACCTTAAAAATCACTTGTGAGAAGATTGAGGCCTTAGAACAAGAAAACTCAGACCTGGAAATGGAAACCAGGAAACTGAAAAAGACTTTGGATAGCCTGAAAAACCTCACTTTTCAGTTAGAATCCTTAGAAAAGGAGAATTCGCAGCTTGATGAGGAAAATCTAGAGTTAAGAAGAACAATTGAATCCTTGAAGTGTACAAGCATTAAAGTGGCACAGTTACAATTAGAAAACAAGGAGCTGGAGAGTGAAAAGGAGCAACTTAAAAAAAGCCTGGAGCTGATGAAAGCCTCATTTAAGAAGACGGAACGCTTGGAAGTCAGCTACCAGGGCCTGGACACAGAAAACCAAAGGCTACAGAAAGCCCTTGAAAACAGCAATAAGAAGATTCAGCAATTAGAAAGTGAACTGCAGGATTTGGAGTCTGAAAATCAGACTCTGCAAAAGAACTTGGAGGAGTTGAAGATCTCCAGTAAGCGCTTAGAGCAGTTGGAAAAGGAGAATAAGTTGTTAGAGCAAGAGACTTCTCAACTGGAAAAGGATAAGAAACAGCTAGAAAAGGAAAATAAGAGGCTTCGCCAACAAGCAGAAATCAAAGACAGTACTTTAGAAGAGAACAATGTCAAGATTAGTAACCTGGAAAGGGAAAATAAATCTCTATTTAAAGAAATAGTTGTATATAAAGAGTCGTGTGTGCGCCTGAAAGAACTAGAAAAAGAAAACAAGGAACTCGTGAAAAGAGCCACCATTGATAAGAAAACCCTTGTCACTTTAAGAGAGGTAAAGAGAAATCAGTTACCTCCTGGCATGACCTGTTTGATATGTGAAGAAATGATACCTGTGTGTTTGAAAAAGATCTTGTGTTTTGTAGTTTCTGTGCTTTAATCTGTATACTAATAGCATCCGTAATGGGTACAGTAAGGAAAGTGTTAGACAATCAGAATTTATGCAATCATAATAATCAAATGGAATAATAGAACCATATTACACTTAATTCTGTAAGGTTGCTTGCAGATTGTCATGGAGCCTTTGTTAAATGAATGTTGTTCAGATGCTTCATGTTAGTATTGGTTCTGGCTGAAACCCTTTCCCTTCACTGTAATGTTCAAAACCAAGTTGGAAAGGGAGCTCCTACAAGGAAGGGAGTGAACACCTAGGGTGAAGTCACACTGTAGCTGCAGTGTGATGTCTGGTCTAGCTGAATGGGAAGGAGAGTTACCATTGAGTTATTCAAGTCATGTAGCCACAAAAGACTCTTGTCTCGGCGCTTCTAGGATTAAGAGTGCATCGTTTTATTTACATGGTAATTCTGACTGTACCTTTCTCTATGCAAGGACTTGGTGAATGAGAAATTGAAGACTCAACAAATGAACAATGATTTAGAAAAACTGGCCCACGAACTTGAAAAAATAGGCTTAAACAAGGAGCGCCTCTTGCATGATGAGCAGAGCAGTGATGACAGGTGAGGATGTCAGGGCCTACCTGGAGCAGGCAGAAACGAGGCTCTTTTTTGCTCATAAAGTAGTTCTGCAGGCTGGTTTTGTGCATACTCTTGAGATTTTTTTTAAAGCACATTGATAGACCCAATGTTCTTTGAAATAATAAGGTAGTTGATGTGCTCTTCCATTCAGCTGTCTCTGAAAGAGAGTTGCCACTTTTTGTCACCAAGAAATTTCTTGAAGTCTGTCAGTACATAGAGCTAATGTGTAATTAAAATGCTTTATGTTCAAGTTAGCAGCAGGAGCAGTGGCAGTAAAAGATAATAGAACCAAAGTGGGCTTTTTCTTTCTTGACTGCTTGACTGATAGAAAGGGTCTTTACACTTTGTCATGCAGTGGTTACCTTAAACTGTCTCACTCTTTCCTTCCACTGTTTCCTTCTAATTCTTCCTACCAAAAGGAAGCTGCTTTCCCACTCAGACTGGTTGGGAAGTGTCCAGTACTTGAGTGTCTCCAAAACTTCATAGTGGCTCAATCACTCTACCACACCTGCCATTATAAAGCAGCTGCTATCCTGACATCTGTTTCTTCTGCTGTATGTTGTGCTCTGTCTTGTCCTGCAGGGATTTAGGGAAAACTTGTGACAGGAGAAGAGCAGACTAGCATGGGCTTCTAGCCAAGCTTTATTTCGGGATGCTATTCAGTTGTGCTATTGAAGAACAAAAGAAAAGCTGCTGTCATGGTCTGTCATTATAACTGATTGTCATGAGCATTTAGATTGATTTTGGGTCTTCTACATTAAAATATCTGTATCTATATCCCCCCACCACCCAATCAAAATCAGTTTCTCTTTCTTGCTGCCAGTGCTCTGTAGCTGGGGTGGTGCCAGGATCCTGTATGAAGAATCTGTTACCACCTCTTGTTTTGTGCTTGTGTCTTTCATCCACCTTTATCAACTCACAGACCAGGAGTTCTTCTGTCAAGAAAAGTCCCCAGAACTTGACTAGTGAGATCTCTTCTGGTTTAAGCATCACTGTGTCGCACGAATGTACCAGACAAAGAACAATCATTGAGCTGGGTTGAAGCTTAAACTGCTTAGATGAAGAAGTCCAGATTGAGCAAGGTTTTCCTAACCCGTATTCTAGATTCCAAGTGGTTGGAGTGAGTGCTCCCATAAAGGGAGAGAATGTTGTTCTGTGAAGGTGCTTTTGTAGATTATACTACATGAAAAAATGTATGAGGCTACATCCCCTTTCCAGACAACAGCATTTGTCCTTTGCTAGTGCTCATACTCCTAAAGATCAGCTGGTGTGGGTTCACTTCTCATAGGTTAGCTGGTTTGTGACATTGGGCCATATAACACTGGTGTTTCCTTGATGTTCTACCAAATGATGTTAACATTTGATCTATAAAGTATAATTTGGAAGAAAATTTGGAGTTGCATGTCTCTGGAATGTGGAGTTTCATCCAGCTTTCATTAAATTACAATCCATAAATGGACTTTCAACATACTTCTGGCACATATCATGACCCGTTTCATTTCTTCCTTTGCTTCCAGGTTATCTGTGTGTGGGAATTACACAAATAAGTTGATTTTCATTCCCTCCACATCCCTGTATTTCTTTTCTAATGGGTATTCCTTTTGCAAGGAGCTCCTGCACCTTTTTTGCTGTGTTATGTATTAAGAGCAGAGCTTGGGGGCAGGCACTGCATGCTGATTGACCTGCACTTGGCAAATGCCTGCTGCTGGCATTAGATCTCCTGTAACGTGGTGCTGCTCAGCTGCACTGCGTAAGAACAGCTCATGCCTTATTCTCTGCAGATTGCCTTGCAGCAGGAGATAACGCCTGTCTAGAGGGGTGTTCATGGTGAACTGGGTTGTCCAGCACTGACCATGTGAAAGCACCACAAAAGCAGATGGAATATTTGATGGTTCGTGATAATTGGCCATCAGGCTGTTTGGGTGTGATGTGCCTGTTCAGCCTGATCCAAGGTGAGGTATGTGGGAAGCAGACCTTGAAGCTTACCTGGGACACTGTTTAAAGCCTATCTTTGAGCTCAGGCTTGTGGCCACATTGTTTTAGATGTGAAGTGATGTGGGCTATGCTACGGTTTTCAGCTTCTCAGACTTCATGTAGAGTTGGAGATTGTGAATGGGCAATATTTGTTTTCAAAATGGAAACATTGGTTGAAGTTTTGCTCTGCCACTCTCCTGCCTTTCCATTATTCTCTACTTCCTCAGTCATCCAAAAGGTACCTGGGTTTATTTCCTTATATCATTACATAGGTGAGGCATTAGCGATTATTTCATCACGTTCATTATGGCCAAAATGACTTCTCAGTGTATTTTTGGTCTGCCTCTCTCATGTTGGTGATGGGAATTAAAAATGCATTATTTCTCTCTTTTTACTTGGAGAGAGCTGCTTGTGGTTTCTGTTGGATGTTCTTGGTAGCACCTACTACGTCTGATGAGTTATCTTTGATGTGTTTTCCATTTTCTCTTCCCCTTCTAATGGCTGTTGTCTTTAAGCAAACAGATTCATGGATGTTGACCCTAAATCTAAAACAGCCAAATCTCAGTGGAGTTAGAAAATTCATCTTTGATTATGAGGTGTTTAAAAGGAAACTGGATATTGGCTCTCTGCTATTAGTCTTTTTCCTTCTTTGTTTTCTATGTAATGTATAACTGAATGTATGCTTCAGCTCAAAAAGATGAAACACTGTCTATTCTACTTGTCATAGACTGCCTACTGTTTCTTAAGTCGATGAGAATTACTTGTCAGACCTTAAAATGCAGGATTCTCATCCTACTACATGATGCTACTGGACAGCTCTCGACTTATTAATCCTCTTACCATTGGTCTTCTGCTCCAGTTCCTGACTAGATCTAATGCTCTTGTCCATTCAGGAGTCTTTTGCAGTCTATTCCTTTCACTAAGCTGATAGATTCTTCAGCAGTCAAGATTAAAAAGGGGGATATTAGTGGTTTGCTTTATTTAATCCTACTGTGGGGAGAAGTGGGATGTTTTCCAGATTCTGAGCACATGTACAGAGAATGAACTGCTTAAAAGTGATTAATGAGTGTGGCTTTTAGTGTTTTCTAAAAAGGAGATAACTGTTCTAAAGGGATATATTCTAAATCTGACCATTCCTCTCCCAAATATGTAATTAGGGGTTTTTAGGTGCCCTAAAATATTATAAATATAGTAAGAAAAATGGCAGCTTTACACACTGGGAGTGGTAACAGTCTTAAAAATAGCAGCAGCTGGGCTGAGCGCACAATTTGCACACTCATACATCAACTGAGTATGCACCTGCAGAGTGCTGCGTTCATCTCCTTCCCTGCTCCTCCTCTTTGTGAGCCGGCAGGAAATGGAAATTGATGAAAATCTTGCTCTCCAAGTACTTCACATCCTAATTTAGATCAGGTCCCCGCTGGATTCACTGGAGGGGAGCCAGAAAGAAGAGTGCTGTCATCACACACGTGCTAATGATCCAAAGCCAGTGCCCTGCTGCTGTGGCTCAACGGGGCTTTTTGTCCCTCTGATAGGTTTTAAAAGAAAGAAGGATTCAGAAATGGGGTTGACTCTCATGTTCTGGTGTTTTAAACATAGGACTTGCTATCACTCCTGAGGTGTCTTCATGCTTTTGAATAGAGCAACATCCAAGCAATTTTGCATGTAGCTTTGAGATTACTGTTTCAGAACAGTTTAGAATTGAGATACCTCAAATAATCCTTTAAAATACAGACTTTGTGTGTGTGTGTGTGTGGTGTCATTGACCAGTAGGTACAAGCTTTTGGAGTCAAAGCTAGAATCCACACTTAAGAAGTCTCTCGAAATAAAAGAAGAGAAAATTGCTGCTCTGGAGGCACGTTTAGAAGAGTCAACGAATCTGAACCAGCAGCTCCGTCAGGAACTTAAAACCGTAAGAGAATGGTGATTTCTTTCAATAAGATTAAATTACTCCCATTTCAGTTATTGTTATTTCCACACTCAACCTTGTGTGAGACAACAAAAGGTGGGCACCGTTCAGGTGATGTAAAGCAGGACAAAGGCGTGACTGCATTTTAAGACTGCAGTGGTGCAGGCCCAGTGTTGAAATCACACGAGAAATTGCTGAGTGTATTCATTGGTCACAGAATGTGTCAGGTGGATGAATAATCCGAGGCTGATTTGATTTGGGATGTCAGAAGTAGTCATTTTCAATTACGTGTTCTGATCTGAACATGCCATGAGCAGCCCAAGTGGGCTGGTTCAAAACTGAAATGCAGTCTTGTTTGTTGTAGGACTTTATAGAAGGTGGGGGGATACAGCTGAAAGCACCGAAATAAAATAGAAAATAGAGGTCTTTTTCCTTCAGAAACTCATTAGGGTTAAGCTATCCATATCCATAAATATCTTGTACATCATCTCCCCAGTCATATACAAAGAGCAGATCTACCAACACAGTGATGTAGCACTTTCTGTTCTTTGAAAGACGGTATGCTCATGTAGTCAGTTAGGATGTAGAAAATGGAAAAGGCTGAACCTAATGTAAGTTGTCCTAAATAATTTCAGGTGAAAAAGAACTATGAAGCTCTCAAGCAAAGACAAGAAGAGGAAAGGATGGTTCAAAGTTCTCCTCCGAGAAGTGGGGAAGAAAATCAGTCTGTCAATAAGTGGGAGAAGGAAAACCAGGAAACGACTAGAGAGTTATTGAAAGTTAAAGATAGATTAATTGAAGTGGAGAGGAATGTAAGATGTGTTTTAAATACTACTCTGATTTAGGTATTTATTGTGAGCTGTTCCAGTAATATAAATGAGAGGATTTTTAAGGAAATATGCAATTTATCACCTACTTTATGATCCAAGCAGAATCTGAATTAAATATAGTTTGTGAAGCGGCTGGATTCTGCTGGATTCTGTTCTGGATTCTGCTGTAAAGCACTTGAGCAGCATATAGAAGCAAATGTGGAAACCTGAATTTGCCCTTTTGAATCCACAAGTATCTCTAAATCCCTCTTGTATGATCTTTGTTTAAATGAGTCATGGAGAGTTCTCTACTATTTCTCCATAGGTACAATATTCGTTACCTATTTTTTCAGTCTTAACCTGTAGTGATAATATTGCTGTGCTACTTGGTTCTACAGGATGATTTACACACTGGAACAGAACTGTAAATCTCTGTGAAGTCATGCTGCTTTGTTTGTTTAGAAGAAACAAACTCTAGTTTAAGTGTTAACTTTGGTTCAGTAAACAGCTTTGAACTCTCATTTTCATTATATTTCCTTTAATGTTCTAAGAATGCCACACTGCAGGCAGAGAAGCAAGCACTCAAGACACAATTAAAGCAGCTTGAGACACAGAACAGCAATCTGCAGGCTCAGATTCTTGCACTTCAGAGGCAGACTGTTTCTCTACAGGAGCAAAATACAACTCTACAAACTCAGAATGCCAAACTGCAGGTAATATTTTCCTGGTCTGCTTTCAAAACTAAAATGAATGCAGAGGGTTTTTTTCACATAAAAGCATTTAAAGCTAATGGCAATAAAGGATTTAAAGGGAGATTTTGCTTCTGGTACCGACATGGAAAAGAAAATGATGTGCAAATAATCTGCACTACAAGCAGTCAATATTTTGTTTGCTGATGAATAACAACATCTCTGGAAGTTCATTTTAATCCTTCATGTTTGTCCAATTTAAACTCCTAACTTTATCCTTGGAGTGGAGAAAATTCTCTTATCCAGTCTTCTAAGATATTTTTCTGTTTATATTTCTTTTGTACTTCTAAACTAGGTCAGGGTAATAAGGTGTCCAAAGAGACACATAAAAACTACGCAAGTATGTGAAGATTGAGTTCAGATAATTCAGAGGCAAAGAAATGAGTGACCATGGGCATTACAAAAGTGATTGCCCACAGTCTTGTAGCTCTTAGAGCCAAAATTCAGCTGTCATTCCTCATACTTTCAGAGGGTTATTAGATACATAGCTTGTTTTCCTCTCATAAATGAAATATTCTTGTTAATGGATGTAATGCTTTTTGGAGCTCTGAGAATTAAAACTACTTAGAGAGGGAATGCGAAGTCCACAAATCAGCAGAGATAGTAAACAGTGTCAGGAATGATGGAGGGTGGATGGAAGTCCAGGAGTGAAGGAGTCTTTAAATGAGTAAACAGTAATGAGTAATGCAGTTTGTGGACGTCTCCAGTTATCCTCCTGCCTGTTTCTGGAGAGCAGGATGTGGTTGTACCACAGATGCACTTTCCATCTACCTCACTGAAATCTGGTTAGTGCACTCCCTTTTGTGGCTGGCAAGGCCAGGAATGGAGCAGGACAGTGGTGCACGCACTGTGTCTTGTTCAGTCATTAAAAACTAGTGGATGTGAGCATGGAAAATGCACCATTTTAATCAGATGAGGACGTATCTCTGGAATTCAGAACTCTTTGAGGGTTTTGTAATACCATTTGTCAAAAGAAATATCTACATGGCTCCTTTTTGTCATGAATTGCACACCAGCATGGGCCTTTCCTATTGCATAAACCTGGAGAATGAATTAACTGCAGGTATGGAAAGTGTTAAGGCAGTGAGTTGGGAGAAGGAAGCATTTTTTGCCTTTATTTTAAATCGAGTATTTTTGTGGTGAGCTTCCCCAAGCAATGTAATTTCTGTTGCTGGCAGTGACTGGGTGATGTACACCCAACAGACAGAGAAAGGGAGTTCTTTTCTTCCTCAAATTCAGCTATTTTTGCTCATAGCTTCAGGCATGTTGCAAGACAACTGTCCATCAACTCTGACTCAAAAAGAAAGGTGAAATATGTTCATGAAAATAAAGTGATTTAACTATTAGCTAAATCTGAAGTGCAGACTAAGCTGCTCTATGTGGACTGTGTCAGAACTGTCCTTAGGCAACTGTAATTCTACTGTTCCTTCCAGTTCCTGTAAGGAGCATAGAAGAGAAAAGATGTCTTAAAGGACAACTGGGAATTCTGAGCTACATCAGGCTCGGGCTTCAGTCTGGGAAGTTTCACAGCATACACATGCCATCAGACATTACTTCATTTCCAGTGAAAGGTTCAGCTTTCTCATCTGTAACAAAGAATGCCGCAGTTCCAACAGAAAGGCATTTGTTCCTTAGTAACAGCGTGCACTGGAGTGATAGATTTGGGGTTTTTTCCCTTAATAGATACCCTGAGGGCATTAGAAGCCTCAGTAGTTTGTGTTTTTCATCTCTTGAATAGGAAAGAGAAGGAATCTAGCCTGACACAGGTCAGATGACAAGCATGTTAAGTATCAGCCATTCTTTTAAGATCTCCAATGATTAGTTTAGGTCAAGCTATCCAGAGGCACAGAAAGCTGTTGTTATTGTTTTGGGGTTTTTTATCTATCAGCTGTTGAAGGCTTTAACGTATTAATAGACATTAATACTCTTCTGACATAATCAGTGGAGAAACTGTACACCAGCTCTCACAACATGTACATGGTGACCAAGTGACACTACTGCTGTTGGGAGAGAACCGGGAAAGGCAGTTCCTCAGTAAAACAGAATACAGGTGGTTCCTTCCAGGTGCTGTTGTTTCATTTCCATTACTCTCTATTAAATGAATGCTACTGTTTGAAGTCTCATTGTAAAGAATATGTGAGTACAATAAGAATTTTGTGGGAACAATAGAGATTCTGTACAATAAAGACTAAAAAACCCCAAACTATGCCAATATGAAAGTTCATTTTATTTTAGTCACGTCAGGAAAATGTGTGTCTCATCTAGACAGCACTTGAACAGATATTTGAAGGTAAATAATGATTTGGTATCGTCCCCACCATGTCAGTAACTAGAAGGTTGCTAAGATGCTAAGGATTAAACTCAAGAAATCTCTCAATGGGAGGAGATAGACAAAGATAATCCAGACCATGGAATTCACTTGCAACTCTTGTCAAATGTCTCTGACTGCAGGTTGAAAATTCCACCCTTAACTCTCAAAGCACATCTCTTATGAACCAGAATGCACAGCTGCTCATCCAGCAGTCTGCTTTAGAAACTGAGACCGAATGTGTGCTCAAGGAGCGCGAGGATCTCAAGTCGCTCTATGATTCACTTCTCAAAGACCATGAGAAACTGGAGCAGCTGCACGAGCGCCAGGCTTCCGAGTACGAATCTCTGATTGCCAAGCATGGGAGTCTGAAATCTGCACACAAAAACCTGGAGGTGGAGCATAAGGACTTGGAAGATAGGTAAATACTAATGGGCATAAGTGAAATGAGGGTCTGCAACTCCGGAGGAAAAGCCACTGTATAACTAATATGAATAAAAGTAGTATTAAATGCAACGTTAACATCTTTAAACTTTGAAACTTTTCTCCAAAATTCCATATTTTCTTGTCATTCCGCAAAAAAGTAACTTAAATATTGTTTTTGTTTGCAGGTACAACCAGTTGCTGAAACAGAAGGTGCAGCTGGAAGAGCTGGAGAAGGTACTCAAGGTAGAACAGGACAAGATGCTGCAGCAAAACGAAAAGCATGAAACGGTAGCAGCAGAGTATAAAAAACTCCGTGATGAAAATGAAAGGTAAAGCAGAAGTCACATATGGAGTGGTGCATATGGAATATATTACACATAAAATAATACACATATTCACATACAGAATATGTGTATTGGCAGAGCTCTGAGCACTTGCTAGTACATTCAAAGTGTTGCATCCTCTCACATTTCTTAATACCTGATGCTGCAATTGAGGACATTTACAGTTCACAGCTTACAGCAGCTCCTCTTGTTGGTCTGTGATACAGTCTTTTTAGAAAGACTGAATAGGAAGAAACCAAACTCAAGGCCACAAAATGTAATTATTATATCCCAAGGATACTTAGTTAGAATCATGGAATCATAGAATAGTTTGGTTTGGAAAGGACCTTGAGATCATCCAGTTCCAACCCCCCTGCCATGGACAGGGACACCTCACACTAAACCATCTCACCCAAAGCTTGTCCAACCTGGTCTTGGGCACTGCCAGGGATGGAGCATTCACAACCTCCCTGGGCAACCCATTCCAGTGCCTCACCACCCTCACAGGAAAGAATTTTCTCCTTATATCCAATCTAAACTTCCCCTGTTTCAGTTCTAACCCATTACCCCTTGTCCTGTCACTACAGTCCCTAATGAAGAGTCCCTCCCCAGCATCCCTATAGGCTCCCTTCAGATACTGGAAGCTGCTCTGAGGTCTCCATGCAGCCTTGCACATACTATCTTCAGGAATGGCAGGCCAAGCATGATGCAGCATGGTTGTGAGCTGTAGAGGGAGCAAACCACTCCGCAGGAGTTGCTTAAGGGACAAGATAATTGAGGTTAATACCAATCGGAGTAGAAGCACAGTAGGTGGTGAAGCCCTGCTTGACCCCTGCAACTGAGATACAGCTTGCCATAAGTACTTAGGTTTAAGAGTAGTATTTACACAGCATGATACTTCCCCCCTCAAGCAGAGGCATTAAGGTTTGTTCATCTGGCAAAGAGGCTCACAATTAAATGCCTACTACCTTTGGTGTTGTGTGAGGAGGATTAGTAGGGGCTGGAGGTGGTTTTTAGAAAGGGACATGGCCAGGCCCAGCAGGGACAGAGGGAGCCCAGAACCAATTATGAACATAGAATCATAGAATAGTTAGGGTTGGAAAGGACCTTAAGATCATCAGGTTCCAACCCCCCTGCCATGGGCAGGGACAACTCGTCCAACCTGGCCCTGAACACCCCCAGGGATGGAGCATTCACAGCTTCCCTGGGCAACCCATTCCAGTGCCTCACCACCCTCACAGGAAAGAACTTCCTCCTTATATCCTTATAAAACTTCCCCTGTTTCAGTTTGAACCCGTTACCCCTTGTCCTGTCACTACAGTCCCTAATGAAGAGTCCCTCCCCAGCATCCCTATAGCCCCCTTCAGACACTGGAAGCTGCTCTGAGGTCTCCACGCAGCCTTCTCTTCTCCAGGCTGAACAGCCCCAACTTTCTCAGCCTGTCTCCATACAGGAGCTGCTCCAGTCCCTGATCATCCTCGTGGCCTCCTCTGGACTTGTTCCAACAGTTCCATGTCCTTTTTATGTTGAGGACACCAGAACTGCACACAATGCTCCAGGTGAGGTCTCACAAGAGCAGAGTAGAGGGGCAGGATCACCTCCTTTGACTTGCTGGTCACGCTCCTTTGGATGCAGCCCAGGAGACAGTTGGCATCACTGCCAGAGTTTGGATTGTTCCTATTAATTACTGGTTTGTGTTGGGAAGAAATTCTCACTCGTTTGTAGGATTCCTGTATTTTGAAAAGTGGGATCTTAAAAGCAGCTGTGATGTCTGCATTTAGGAATCCTGCTTTATTTTTAACCATACAGAGAACATACGGAGTGGTTGGCCTAAATCAGAATGCATACCTAGGAAAGTTAGACTGAGATGACTTACCTCCAGTGTGTGAAAGCAACAAACAGTTATATGGGTTCTATGGAGTAGCAGAGAGCTACACCATAGAGAAGTGTCATTACCTGCATGAGTACGCTTCCTTCTATCTGCATATATTCCTTTATGATGTCTTTTAATTCCAGGCTTACTCACACCTACAGTCAGCTCTTGAGGGACAACGAAGTTCTCCAAACAGACCATAAGAATTTGAAAACGCTATTGAACAATTCCAAACTAGAACAAACACGATTAGAAGCTGAGTTTTCCAAACTCAAGGAACAGTACCAGCAACTGGATATTACATCGACAAAGCTAAATAATCAGTGTGAGGTATGTGGGAATTATGCTATTTATCATGACTGGTATCACTGTAATAGTCATAGAAATGTATTTTTAGATTCATAAAAACCTTATGAAGTGCTTGAGAATTAATCACTGGGTTTATAGATAATGAAGTGGGTCTGAAGACATGAATTTGCCTCTTGTGCAGGCAATACAAAAACTGGGGCTCGTGTTAGGTAAACTGATTTAAGTTATTTAAAGCCTCAAAGAGGGTTTTATCAATTGAGTCATGGTATAGTTTTCTGTTTGATTTGAGTCCCTTCATACACCTCAGTTTTCTTGATAATCTGATTCTCTGTGTGTAAATATGCTCACATATATATGCATGTACCATTTCATGTATTTTAACAGCTGCTTAGCCAGCTTAAAGGAAATCTGGAGGAGGAAAACAGACATCTACTAGATCAAATTCAGACATTAATGCTACAGAATAGAACATTACTTGAGCAGAATATGGAAAGCAAGGATCTCTTCCATGTAGAGCAAAGGCAGTACATGTGAGTCTTTAAAACAATGAAATTATTGTCTTTAGGGCAGTTACCGTAATACTTCTTTAAAGCTTCTGTTTCATATAGAAATCAGCATTCTGAAATGTGCTACTTCTGAAATGTTTCTCTTTTTAAAAGTCAAATGTAAATTATATATGAAAAGCAGATAAACTGCAAGCACACTTCTGGTTCTGAAGGCTCAGTGCAACTGTGTTCACTGCTGATGATGCAAATGAGGACTAAATATGTTACGTATTCCTCATTGTGCTGCAGGCGAGGTTTCTGGGCTCATTTGAATTTGAGGGAGAAAGTGCATGACTAAATGATTCTTTTAGAGCACTTTATTATTCTTCAAAAAGGGGGAAAGTTCTGTTGTGTAATAAAAGCAAATGTTTTTTTTTCAAGTTTATATCATAACATTAAACGTAAGACTGTTGGTTTGCTGTATCTTTCCTGAGTTTTCAGTCAGAAACATGTCTTACACAAGAATTCCTCATAAGTGACACCTTTGAGAGAACAGCTATCTAAAGGAATGTGCTACTCACCCGTTATACATGCATTTTTGAGGCATGCATTATCATTGGTTTCTGTTAACAGCGACAAGCTGAATGAATTACGGCGACAGAAGGAGAAATTGGAGGAGAAGATAATGGATCAGTATAAATTCTACGAGCCATCTCCACCAAGAAGGTACTGATGAGCATGATCTAAGCACAGGTCTAAGCCATGGCATGCCTGTTCTGCTCCAGCTGAAAATCAAGATCTCTTTAAACTTCAGGGGAGCAGAATCATGTCTGTGTTAATGCTTACAAAGCAGGAAGAGTCTGGAGGTATGAGTGATGTATCAGTAATGCCATCGATGTGCTGTGTCATTGGTAACAGAAGGGGCAACTGGATCACTCTGAAAATGAGGAAGCTGATAAAGTCCAAGAAGGATGTTAACAGAGAGCGCCTCAAGTCCATGACTCTTACACCCACCCGCTCAGAGTCCAGTGAGGGCTTCCTGCAGCTGCCCCACCAGGACAGTCAGGATAGCTCCTCTGTGGGCTCCAACTCTCTGGAAGATGGGCAGACCTTGGGCACCAAAAAGAGTAGCAGTGAGTACTGCAAACCATTTGTTTTTCTATTAATAATCCTTGGCTAAATGTGTTTCTGATGTGATTAAAAGTTAAGAGGTGCTGGAAAAGGCTCTGTGTTTTGGAGGATTTGTGTTTTGGAGGATTTAAGTCTTTAGGAGTGAAGCCTGAATTCATTTATTAGTGACAGGTTTATACCAACTTCTTGTAAACTCCTTGAGTGTTTGGGCAGGAACTAGTTCTTAGCATATCTTCAGCTCTAAATACTAAAATGCATTTACAGTGCTGGGATAAGCTGAAGCAGGCTCTGTTCCTGGGTCAGGTGAGCAGAATCCTGGGTAGAATGTCCGATGCCACCACTAGAACCCTTTTCTGTTTGTCCCTCTTGTCCCAGCATGAACCTTTCCCCTTGCCTTGGAAGTGCTTTCCAAGCTGTGGCTGTGCCACCATCCTTTAGCTGCCAAATAGATCTGTCTGGAGGCGTTTGTCCAGCATCTCACAAAGCCAGTGATGAAGAACTTTTGAATAGGCAATAGGAAGAGGCCATTTATAGACATAACCTGTTGAGAAGCCTAAAGGCTGGAGTTAAGGGCTGAGGGAGACTGAGGAGGGTTACAGAGGGGGGGGATAGATCCAGTATGCCAGACACAATTTGCTCTCCTTTCAAGAGCCCAACAGCTGTCACGTTAGGATGCCCGTTGTAAAAGGCCACATTCTGTGCAGTGTGTCCATTTATTATCTATATTTGTTGTAATCCACTCGTGGCATGAATCATGAACTGCCCAATTTCTCCCAACTTGAGCGATAATACTGCAGCCCCCTTATCAGGTTGCAGTGATTCCCTTTAATAGTTACGCACCAAAAGCATTTTGGCTGTGCATGTAAAAGCATCAGGCTGCGCGTGTGTTAACAGTCACTTTTGCAATGCTTTTGTAAATGTGATGTCTTGGGTTTCAGAAGACAGCAGATTGGTATCCTGGCTTCTGTGCCAGCTCTGAATTTGCTGTGTTAGAAATGATTGGTGCCATGATGATGCATTTTTTTCTTCTGTACTTCTTGCAGAAGCTTAGTCAAAGCTAAAACCCACTATGTCAGGGGAGCTAAAAATCCAATTTGTGAGTACCTTTTAGTAACTGAAGACAATAGTAAGTTTGAGGTTACATTTTACCACTTTCTTGCTAACTTGGCTCTTTTCAGTGAGGGTCTGTTAAGGTTCCAAACAGGTACTTTTGAACTGAAATGAGTAACTGTTGCTTTTACATCTCAACTGAAGTCTTGTGGAACTCGGGAGCGGCTGAAGCTACAGTGGATGTGTTTGCAAGTGTGTTAGTTTGAATCCAGAGTGTGCATGCTTTGGTTCAGACCATCCACATCCGTGTCAGTGATTTCATGTTCTGGAAGGGCTCTTGTGTGTGACAGTTTTCTCTGCATGATACTTGGGACCTTGTAGTGTGCAGTTACCTCCTGGTGGAGCCACGGTTGAAGTTACCATGGCTGATCCTCAGAGAGGTTTGAAGTTCTTCAGACCTCATTAATTTCTGCTCCATGGACTTTGTTCATGTTCCCCTTCATCCCAGTGTATTTCTCCATACACTGGAAGGGCTGATCTAGTCCCGGATCCTAACCTCCCTCCATTACACATCACCATGGAAACCAGTTTTTGATAGAATTTGGAGGACTGATGTGCCAATTCAGTGCTGACAGTTTGCATCTCACGAAGCAGGGGAGTATCTTGGTGTGAGGTACCAGTAACGGTGCACATTTTGCACTCTGTTTCTCCTGCTTTAAGAACAACTGTAAATCCCAAATACCAGCACACTGTGGCTTTCTTTTCTCTAAGAAGTGGCTTGGCAGTAGCAGCTTCCACTGAAAGAAGCTACAAGAAAGAGAAAACCTCTTAAGATGCTGCCTGTCCACGCATGTGCTCAGGTGTTGTAGCTTTCCACACTGGTTGAAGGTAGTTTTGGGTATGGGAAGAGACAGGTTCTATTGCACCCTGATCCCCTGTGTCTGGGAATGGAGGTGGTTCCAAGGGAAGCAGCTAACATTCCCCATGTGGCAGTCACTGGCACACATCATGGTGTTCTCCAAAGCCAGAGGACAGAGTAGCTGACGTGAAGTGAGCTGTGTAGGTTTCCTACCTCATATCCCCTGTCACAGAAAGCAGGAGGAGATCCTGACTCCAAACTGAACTATCCTGCACTAGCACTGCTGGTAGATGGGTTCTCTGGGTGAGATCTGTGGATTTTCTGCTTTGGAAGCTGGTGATGGAGGCTGCTTTCCTGCTGCAGGACACTTTCTGATGCAGGTGTTTTTCAAGAGACCTTGAAACACTCATCTTACAGAGACAGGTGATCTAGGAGCAGCAATCAGGTTACCCTGTTCTGCAGAGACCACAGCGCCTGAGGTCTCAGAGTGCTCAAAGTCCTTTTGGGTCTTGAGGTGGTCTGGAAAGGAGGGGAGGACACATTGTGTCATAGTGGTAGTATGACTGTGCTGCATAGAAGTAGTATATTGGGCTCCATTTTGTGCTACCAAAGCATTCAGAAGATGCCTGCCTAGCATTTCCTTGTGGCAGGAACAAAGTGATTGGAGGATTTGAATACCGTCCATACAGAATTCCCCAGAGTATTTCTGGCAAGGGGTAGGAAGATTGCCAAGCAGGAGGTTTCCTGATCAGTGGAGGAATTCCGCAGTACTCATCAGTCATTCTGAGCTCAGGAAGCAAGAACATGTTCATAGAATGCTGAAAAGAGAAAGAAAAGCTGATGAACTGGAGGTTTTTGAGTAGCTGCTGACTATGACAGATGCAGTCTTTCTGCCTTCCTGGCTTTAAAGCCTGGTGGAATAAAGGTGTAAAGAGCTCAAGTTGCCTAAGGTAGACTGTGGTGCCTGTTTGCTCCTGCTGTAGCTTGGCCAGTCCAGTGGTTCTGTGCAGGATGCTTCTTCAGTTGTATTCTATGCAGAATTCCCTTAGGTAACTGCTCCACTCCAGGAGGTTGCATTTTGCCAAGGGGCAGGTCTTGATGGATGGTTTCCAGGACAGCCATAGTTGCAGTGGAGTTTTCTCTTTGGTGCAGTTGCTCAGAGCCATAAATCAACCCTCTGGGAGGTTTCTGTGTTAATGAACAAGAACCACAGGTGACTTCAGCGAGTCTTGAACATCCTCTGTGTGCTTTTAGTAAGGTTTGGGTGGTCGTTTTTAATGAAGAGGGATCAGATATCTATAAAGCATTATAGAGTGATGGGGGGGGGGGTGTCTATAAAGGGTTAGAAGGCACAAAGAATCATGTTTCACCATGATGGCATAAAGTAGAGCAGGGTTGCCTCTTTGGTTTGATGGGATTAATGCTAAACCTCATTATTTACCTGTTAGAAGCCTAGTCTGATGCTGTGCCTCATGCTCCTTTGGCAGGGTTCTATATACTGTTAGATACCCGACACGCATCTCCTTTGTGGGAGGTTCAGCAGTACCTCTGCTGTTTATGAACCAGGCAGCATCCATGTTTGTGTTGGTTTTGGCTTATTTCCTCAGGGTCTACAAGAGCAGGAAAGCTTTATTGGTCTCATAAAACCCAAACCAAAATAACTGCTTATTTTGGAGTACATACAACTACATGTACATGATAAAATATATTTGTATAGATTATATATACCCAAATACTGTATACTTCTGTAGTGGATAATTCACTAAGTGCAAACACAGAATAATAGGGACATTGGAACTATGGATCCCTCTCCAGTATAGATGGAGAGGGAGATGTCCTTCTCTTTCAGGGTGGTTTGTGTGCACTTACACACGCATATGTACATATATAATGCTCTAAAAACCAAACTGCTACATAACAAGCTGCTGGTAATGCAGAAACCCAGTGTAAATGACAAAGTATGTGTCCCAAGAGTGACTTGAGGGAGATGAAGTGAGCAGATCTTGGGCTGATAGACTGGGCTTTCAGACCTGTGTAAAGGATGCTGGTCGGTAATTCCATGATGGATTTCCTTATGGATCTTTCCATGCCAGTCATTTGCATGTGGCTCCTGTGTGCTTGGCAGCTGGCTGACACCTCTATCTGGTGATTGAAAAAGCAAGTGTTACTAGTGCAGAAGAGCTGAATCTAAGCACTAGATTCACTTGGACTTCCCCCTCCTCTATCTTGCAATACTATTTGTAATTTTAACTCTCTTTTCTGGTATTTTATATATATTGAATAGATCCCAGTTTTCTCTTAGCCCTCCCAAAATGTTACAGTAACACTCACATTTGGATTTAATTCTTCTATTTTTCTCTAAATCTCCTATTTCAGCTAAAAGATTTGGTCAATCCCATTCCAGCCCATAAACCTTGACTTTCCTTTTCCTGTTAGAGATTTGAAGTGGATTACTACAATCACTGCACACAAGCAGTAGATTGAACATCAGGTCCATGTCATATTCCAACAAGACAGTAGATAACCAAAGTCATCAGTTAGCACACAAATGTAGCACATGAAGCCTGATAATGGACTGGGTCCTATTAGAGATGCAGGGCAAGGCATTACAGGAGTGCTTAATCTCAAACAGTAATGGTGTGGGCAGATTTTAAAGCAGAATTTGGACTTAGTTGCTTTCATTTTAAGCTTTTTTTGCTTCACATTTTCTTTATGTTCAAGAAATGTTATTTTTCACAGTAAAAGCTAGATAATCCTTAATTTCTGTAAGTCTGCAAAGTTACCTTTATGTTTTCCAAGAGCTTGGCACTTAACTTTCAAACTGTGTTACATCTTCACCATTATCCTCAGTGCATTTCTGAGGTTGTTAAGGTTTTCCTAGTGTAGCTTTCATGTTTCAGTGTAGCTTTCATGTGTCATTGTCACGCAGAAGCATGAGAACGATAGCGTGTAGCGTAGCTTAAACTCAGACATTCATTTCTGTCCTTAGTTTCAACATTTAACTTCCATCTGTTCTTCTCCCCTTTTTTCTTTCATTTCCCTGTTTCCGTTTTTCCTCATGCTATGACATTAAAGTGGTTGCACTGAAAAGACTGCCCTTTTTGAGGAACAGACCGAAGGAAAAAGACAAAATGAAGGCCTTCTACCGTCGCTCCATGTGTAAGACTTTCTGACAGTTCAGCTTCTTCTCAATGGCTACACTGGCTTCCATTACTAATTTTTCACTAACCTCTCCCTGGACTGCGCTGTATTTTACCTCCTCTTTTGCAATGTGCAAGTCCTGCTACAATACAAGGAGCTGGAGCTTTTCCCTTTTTTTTTAAACCTTGGCACTGAATACTTTATATATGTGAACACACACACACGCCCCCATACTATACCCACACTATACACACACATGCACATACATATATATATTCAGTGCATTGTGACTGCATATATTTGTATACATAGTTGTCTATATACGCATGTCTCTATGTGTATATAAGCTGACAGTGCACTGTGTTAAACTAAGTAGCTGCAAATCACACGTTTCATAAGCCTTTTGTTAAGCAATCACTGTAATCTTTTGTTTAAAGAAAGGGTAGAAGATAGTGCGAGGCTCTGTGGTGGTCTGTCACTCTTCAACCATCCATCAGTTGTTGTTGTTGTTGCCAAAGTGTTTGTATTGAGTGGATTTATTTGGGTTCCCAATGAGGGGTGGACAATTTTCCCTAGTTATAGTGCAGCGAAGGGGAATATCATCAGATGTCATCTTTTCCAGACCCTTTTATTTGTTGTGATGTGAAATCCAGTATCCCTGCAGTAACCTGCACTGTACAAGGATCCCGTATCACTGTTGACATCATGTTGTATTACACCTTTGCCCATTTTATCCTTCTCCATTCCATTTTCTCATTGCAAACAGTGAATCAAAGCTTCTAACACGCATACTGCAGCGCAAGCATGGCAATTATATGTAATAAAAGCAGTTTTAAGACCCATACTGAGCTGAAAGGAGTCGCTTGCCTTACCCCACTCCTCACTCATTGAGCTGATTGCATGTCATAACACGGATGATCTTGTGCTTGTATCTTCCAGTATTCAATGTGCTTTAATGCTTAGAAAACTGTCCAGCGTTTTGCAGTACAAAATAAGACCAGAAGCGAATACATTGACCACGCTGATCATTTGCTTTCATTTGCATCCCAGCCATGAATGACCTGGTGCAGTCCATGGTCCTAGCAGGAGGACAATGGACAGGTAGTTCTGAGCATCTGGAGGGTCCTGATGATATATCTGCGGGTAAAAGGAGGAAGGAGTTGGGAGCTATGGCCTTCTCTACTACAGCTATCAACTTTGCAGCTGTCAACTCTTCTGCAGGCTTCAGATCCAAGCAGTTGCTAAATAATAAAGGTATAGGTAGAAGCTTTTTGCACCGTGACGTGACTGTGTGTAACAGCAATTTCGTGTCCATACTGGGTTTACTTCTATTTTAAGTTACTCCACAGAAAGCAACTTCAGTAAATTGAGTTGCAGTGCCAAGATGTGGCATAGGTTTAATAACTGTAGTTATATAAAGTGTTGGTGGGGTTTTCCTACAGCGTGTTACCTAAGTAAAACTGGATTGGTTTGAAAAATGCCTCAGTATGTTTTACATATTTCAATAATCATTTCATTTTACATCTTCTTTTATGTCTCTGTGTATAGATACCACATCCTATGAAGATGTAAGTCCACAAGGTATTAGTGATGATTCTAGTACAGGATCGAGAGTTCATGGTAAGAGGTGAACTTTAACTCACTGAATTAAGGATACATTATGTATGTGAATGTTAACCAACTTTGCAAGGAAGAGTGAATGGCATGGTTAGAAGTGAGCATGCTTTCTGTGATTTGCCTCTCTTGAATGTGTAGTCTCATTTCTTCAGATTGTTCTTTTCTTTCTTAACTACTACATCAGATATTCTGTAGATATTCTATCTCGTAGAAAGTATCTATGCAGTGCATCTGAACAGGATCAAAACATTTTCCCTTTAAGAATTCATTTGGAGTTAATAGTAAAAGCAAAGAAGTTATGATTTCCATCCTAAAAGCCGTTTTAAACGCAAATCTGAATCTGGCCCGATTATTCAAACGTTTCTCCTTCAGTGAAACCTAAATTTGCCATGTATTTCATACAGCCGTTTCCTTCAAGCCACGCTTGAAATGAAAGCTGCGATAGAGTATGTAGCAGTGAAGCTTTACTACTGAAAATGAGCAGGAGCACAGACCTTTCTGGGGACAGTAACAGCGCGTTTCCTTGTGTTGCATAGGAGTGCAGGCCGTTATCTGTGCAGATGCTCTTGCTCCTCCTGTCGGTGGCATTTCAACTCTGTGCAAGGTTCCTTGTCAAATCTGTTGTAAGTGACCTGCTCACCAGCCGCTTGCTGCACGCCCTTCACCTGCAGACCCTGGTTTCCCACTAACCAGCCTGGTTCAACTCTAAACATGCACTCTGTTTCTCTATTTCTCTTTTCCTCTCCCTTGTACCTTTACTATTCCTGTAGTGCCCTTTCCTAAAGTGTCCTCTTGGGCTGCCTGGAAATCCCTTCGCTTTCTGATGTGTAAGAAACCACTTTGTTGGCAATGGGCATGCTCAGCCTGTGCAGTAGTGCATGATCCTGCCTCTGAGCATTCTGTGAGCAGAATGTGGAGGTGCCGTGCCGCCCGCTAAAACTTGGTTCCTCATCGTGTCTCCTCATTTCCCATTTAGCTTCCAGACCAGCCAGCCTTGATAGTGGCAGAACATCCACTAGCAATAGCAATAACAATGCTTCACTCCATGAAGTCAAAGGTATGCTGTAGGTGAATTCACATACGTGCTTCATGTCCATTGTTTTCTCTGTAAGATCATCTATTATAGGTTAACATAAGTAAAAAATAAAAGAATTCACACTAAGCACCACAGATTGATTTTGTTTAGGTGTTTTATAGCCTTTATTCCTCAAATTAGGAAAGGATACTTAATATAACTCACGTTTTTTGTAAATATTAAAGGGGTGATATTAGTGCATAAGTTACAAACCATTGTAAACCAAACCTAACCCAAGGAAGAAGGTTACAAGATAAGAACTCCCCCAAATTCCTTTAAAATGGCTCATTTGGAAGCAAGGAATTGCCCCATTATGTTTTTTTTTAATCCTAGCATCCTGCTACTGTAAAGCTTTGTGTATAACACACAAACTGGACAAAACAGCGGCTGAAATACCAGCCTGTCGTCATCTGTGTTTGTTTCTAAAGGATGGATAACATCCCTGGATTTACAAATTTCATAGATCACGAGTCCTGAGACAATTTTGGTTATAATGGGAATAATAATCTCTAGCTGGAGACCATTGGACGTACTAGACTAGAATGCTGCCAACTCAAGACTTCGTTTAATACTGGTGGTTTGCATTTATTAAACAGTATCAGATTGGAAGCTCAGAGGTGAAGGCCAGCTTGAGATTTGGATTAGTTTTATTAGCTTCCTGGTTTTATTAGTTTAATTTGTGTCTGTTCCATGAGTCTTTGGGGTTCTCCTCGCCCTGTTTTCTGTACAGCATTGGAAAGCTTGTACTCCAAAGTTAATTTCACTCCTTGGGAGTAACACGGCATAGGAAATACTTGATGATTCATCAGTATTTTTGAAGCAATTCACAATTACTGAGCAATAAAAAGAATTGGTGCTGTGGAATTCATCTTGCATTGAATGCCGTGTGCTTCCTTTAGGCCACAGTTGTCAGAAACTAGAAGTAACAGCAGAAGCTGTGGGAGAAGCAGCATTCCTAAATTGTCCTCATTGAAGAACTGTGTTTAAGAAAACATTTTCTGTCCATTCCATGCTTTGTATTTCATTTAATGTAAAACTCATTACTGATACAGTAGAGCATGTGCCTCACAGCGATGCTGAATAAGAAGGGGGCTCCTCTTTAGCCCCCTGGAATATGATGTTACATAGGTGGAGGCCCAGATTATAAATGAGAGGTTGGGGTTGTATTCAGAAACCCCGATGATGTTTAAAGGGCTGTAAGAGGTAAGTCAGGGGAGTGCAGTTGTGTTAATCTGCTTGGTTTGAGTAAGAAAGGACAACTGGCTTTAGTATTTTAAGCTGGATTTAGTATTTTAAGTGGAGTTTGTTAACTGAATGTGATACTGTTCCAGATGTGAGTTTGGTTGTACTGTTCAACAGCTCCCATATATTCCTATGGAATCACTGAATGCCGTTTGCCCCAAAGCAGGTGCAATTCACACTCAGAGCAGGCCCCAGAGCCACAGCAGCGGGGAGTTCAGCCTGCTGCACGAGCACGAAGCGTGGTCCAGCAGCAGCAGCAGCCCCATTCAGTACCTGAGGGGTCACACGAGGTCTAGTCCTGTGCTGCAGCAGAGAACGCCCGAGATGCTGGATGCTCGTGGCAGGCACCTCAGGACGGGTTCCCCTGGCAGTGAAGTCGTGACCCTGCAGCAGTTTCTGGAAGAGAGCAACAAGAGTTCCTCCAGCGAGGTTAGTTTAATGGAGTGAGTAGAGTGGCTGTAAACTGTGTGGAGTTACTGACTGCGTCTACATCTACATTAAGGGGTGGTGTGGACTGCATCCCGATAAACTGCACTCACTGTATTGCACACAAAATCAGTTGGGGTTTTGCAGCTTTACTCTTTCTGGGTTACTGAATCAGGGAGGAAAAGTCCATCTCTGTTGCACAAAACTGAGACCTGGTACACTCACCAGAGCTCAGGTGAAGGCCATACACTCAGAGTAGCTTTACTTCCCGTTCACCTCTTGTCCGCAGTAAGTGGATGATGCTTTACCTCATTCCCTGAGGGGAGAGGCTCTTGTCTGCTTCAGATTCATCTTTTAACTAGGCAGAAAAATAAAGAGCTTGGAGCTCATTGAAATCTGAGAGGAATAAGGCAAAGAGAATGTTTCTTTCAATTGGTGGCAGTTTGTTAGAAGCCCAAAGTCCCTTAGTATTCCAATTGCTTCTTCACCAGTTCTTGAGTAGTAGAGGTGTCCAAAAGCCAGAAGAGCTGTAGGATAAAGCAGGCCCGTTACTGTGACTAGGCCCTGCCCTGAGAGAGGACCAGAATCCATCTGGTTTTAATGCCACAGTTGAAAATGAAGAGCACATGTTCACATCTGAATCGATTGGGGAAGTAAGTCAGAGGTTCCAGACTTGGATCTGGAACTGAGTTCCTGGATTTTTTTGCTAGATCCTTCCAATGACCTCTCACGTGTGGAGTCCCTGACAAGGATTTTGGGATTTGAGCATTAGACAATACTCTTCTGGCAGCAGAAGCAGCAGAAACCCCCGAGTCATCCGTCCACTGCTGTTCGTGTATCACAGACCTGTTCACAGCATCACAAAACCATTCAGGCTGCAGGGAGATTCAGGAGGTCTCTTTCCAGTCTTCTGCCAGAGTATTTCCTTAATGCTTTTAGCTGAATTCTTCCCAAATTGACTCTTTCAAGAAACAATGGGGAGCTCTCTGGTCCAGATGGAGGCACTGTGGGTGCCCCAAAGTTCTGTGCTTTGTGTTGCTGTGGGAGGTTTTTGCCTTTGTTATGTGAGTGATGAAGGAATTTGAGCTTTCAGCTCCAGATGATCAGCGTCAGTTGCAATGAGTCCACATGAAATGGTTTGGGAAGTATCAGTGTGTGATGGCACAGGGCAAGTGAGTGAGAAGATGGAGTTTTGAGCATATGATTTGCTGCGTTAATCAGTGTTAGAGAAGCTAACTCCAGATAGCTGTGCTCTGTCTGGTTTTCAGAGTACTTGTAGGCTGTACAGAAGACTCAGTCATGTGTACCATAAACATGTAATGCTACTTTTAGATCTGAGAAGTTGAAGTACTTTTAGTTGTTCTCCCTTTATGTCCACAAAGGTGAAAATTCCAGTGCATAAATTCCTGTTTCACCCTTGTGACAGATGAAATCAGCAAGCGAAGAGAATCTGTTAGATGAAGTGATGAGGAGTTTATCCGAGTCCTCAGAGCTGGCAGGGAAGGAGAAGCTGAGGAAGCAGCCGTCTGCCGGTTGTGGCATCGTGAGATCGCTGAGTGTCAAAGCCACCATTGACTTCTCAGACGGACGATCCCTAAAGGCAGAGCAGCTGGTGAGGCCGAGCCTTCGGAAAAGCGACGATCCCACCGTCGCCAGCTCTCCGGTGAAGTTGACAGGAGGCACCCAAGGGAAGGCCAAATCCGTGAAGGAAAAGCTCCAGGGGAGCGTTTCCCAGCGCCAAGCCCGCGATTGCAATCCCTACGCCACCTTACCTCGTGCCAGCAGCGTCATCTCCACTGCAGAAGGCACCACCCGAAGGACAAGCATTCATGACTTCTTGTCTAAGGACAGTAGGCAGCCTGTATCAGTGGATCCAGCGCCAGCCACCGCCGACAGGAGCGTTCCATCGGCCTCTAGTGAGTACTCAGCACACCAGTTACCCTCTCCTTTTGTTCACTGTGTGGCTTACAGAGTAGATTGTTTTGCACAGAGCGATGCAGCTACTGCAGTTAAACCCCGTGCTGTGGGATGTCACTCTGATGTTCCTAAGGCTTCCAGGATGGAAAGGTCAAATTTTCGGGAGAGAACTTTGCTAAGCTCAAGTGTGTTTAATGATAAATCCTCTGGTAACGAGAGCACAGGGTCGCTCACTGTGGCTCAGCCATTTGTATCCCTTAACACTGAATTAGTCAGTAATATAAGTGGGTTGCCTCACAGGCCTACATCCAAACCAACTGAGCAGGCAAATCTGTCACCATTTAGATCAGTGCCCAAGAATCCAGAACAGCCTCCTGCTCCCCAGGAGCCTGCTCGTAGTGACCCACGGTCAGCTCTGAGTGGTGAACTTGTTCCTACCCCGTGTGTGAACACCAGTGAGGCTGAATCCCCACTGCTGGTTTCTGAGGATAACAAAACTGTGTGGTACGAGTATGGCTGTGTATGATAAGGAAGTTGTATTATTAAATATATATATATATAGTCTCACACAACACATAGGTGTTCTGCTCAGTGTCCACTGGACTTAAGAGATTTCACTCCAATGACAGAACAATCCCATGTTAGATCTGCGGGTGGCTGTTGGTAGAGCTCAGTTGTGTACTCCAGCATGTCTGAATGTGGAACTGTAACCTCACCAAAGTCTGCATGAACCATTAATTGCACTGTATATATTTTGCATGCCTTGAAAAGTCTTTATAATGCGAGCGGTTTTATTTGTCACGCATCACAGATACTTTGGTTTCTCCCTGTATGTTACTGAATGCATGTCAAACCAGGCGCATGCTGCACTGCCACAAATGGCACCAAGAGCAATTCCAGTACAAATCCAGGACTTCTCAGACGTAACCGTAACACATTGAGGAGGTACTTGGAGTAAAAATACTCCCCCCTCTTGTTACGTAAATGAGATAGTAATGAAAAGAAGCGGTTAGAGAGATTCCAGTGTCTTGCCCTTTTCATTGATGCCATGGCCTGGCATAAATGCACTTCGCATGAGGAGCAAGTTACAGCGCCATAATTCATTGCCTCCAGCTTGCACAATAAACATGAATTACTGCTCATAGTTATTAAATTACTTGAACATCAATAAATGGAAAGACCATTCATAATCCTAATAAATCTTAGGAGGAGGAGATAAACACTTACATGATACACAGCACTTGCAATGGAAAAATGACCCTTTCCACCTCTTCCCTTTTGTATGCTTTGTCTCTCCACGCCTGGTGTACAAATGTGGTGAAGTGTATGGTTTATTAGGAGTCAAATAACGGAGTTATAGGAGACCCCCTGTGATGTGTGGTAATAAAAACCTGTATTGATCATGGTGGAAGCTCATTTTTTCTTCTGAATAGAAGTAACACTAATACAAGAGAAAAGAAGATGTGTGACAGGGATAACTATTACATTAACACAGCTAAATAAAAGACACAATCACCGAGACATCGCTTGTAAAGTTATGTGAGTATAGGGATGCTGAAGCGAGTAACTCGTTAAATCCCAAATGACCAACTACAGAGAAATGCTGAAAAGGAATTGCTTCATGTGCCCTTGTGGCTGCAATGGCTTGAAACCTCTCTATGGTGAATATATAACAATATATATATAATGTTATAATATATATATATAACAGTTTAAAATGGTATCATACTTAAATTGTCATTTATGAGGCTTCAGATACGGCCCTAGTTACCAACAGTTATCATATCATAGGCGAACATTACGTATGCTATAAAGACCTGAATGCCAATGTATGTAGAGGAGAAGTACTTCAGATCTCCAATACTGGAAATAATGAAGGCCATATTCTGAGTTTTACATTTAAATCTCTTTTGCCAGAGGTTCTGTGGCACTCATGGTACTGCTGGAGCTTTAATTCCTGAGTCTTTCACTAGGGAGAGAGCAAATCTGCTGCTCTTTGAGGGAAAGCAGCAGACACATCCCATATCTTAGTCTAGAAAATCGCCATGTCAAACATGAGAGTTGTTAATAGAGCAGGGAGATAGCTCTCCCCAGAGCTCCAGCTCCATTCCAAGGTGGGGAAAAGGAAGGAGGGCAGAAGTTTGGATGTTTCAGAACATTTTGTGCAGGATAAAATGACTGTTCCACAACGTGCAGCAGCCATCCTTCCCCATGGCTGCAGGCGTCCCTTGATACAGGGCTGATAAGTGTTGCTCAAGCGAGCTGGCAGTTACTGCTGAGCTCCCTCTAGAATTGTGTCGCTGTTAAAAACCCCAGCCCCAAATCTGAAATACCATCTGCATTTCACAGGCAGCGGGAGCAGCGTGTGCTGCTCTCTGGCCCTGTCACTCGACTTCGTTTCTGTTAATCTCTCTCTGTGTTGGAATTAGCTCTGAGGTGAACAGTGCTGAAGCGACGTGAGCATAGCACATTTTGTGGGTTATTTAAGGCATTATAGAGCTCTCAGAGTACTTATTATACACTCACACTGTGCTGCCAGTATCTGTGTCATCTGCTTAACTGATTGCAAGCCTGTGTCTTGTAGTGAGGCTGCTTGTTAGGATAAGAACAAGGTTTGCAGCTCACGGTAGTATCTCCTCCTTAGATCAGCTGCTGTTGTCCGAGACATCGGATAAGCTTTAGTGCATGATACTACCTCGTTTGCCAGCTTTGTCCTGCTTAGGTCCTTAGACTGTCACAGCTACAAACCCCGCCAGCATTGTCTCCAGATATATTGCAGACCCTCCAGCACTGAACCCTGACTGTAGTCAGGAGCAAGCCTAAGGTCTAAAGAGAAGTTGTAGAGGTCACCCCAGTAGAGTGAAGGTAAAGCTGCTGTCCATGCACTGGATATGCTGTTTCCAGCCCCTGCCCATGCAGCACTGCAGTTTCAAGCATCTCATTTCTCTTCCTAGCACTGAGCTTTCCAAACAAACCAAACCTGGCAGTGCATATCTATGCCTTTTAATGCCTTTTAGCCTGTGTTTTACATTACCCCACTGGGAGGGGGGGGAGCAGCATTAACACAGCTGCTCTCTTAAACCCAAAGGGCTTCAGAATAACTGTTAGTGCCTTGGAACATGAGTGCCTCGTATCCTCTACGGCAGTTCTAGTCTCACCTTGTCCAGGTCAAGGTGCCATTTTGCATGCTTTATAACCTTCTAATGACCTGCATTTCAGCTCTGAGGGTACCAGCTTTCTGTGCTCCTGGGTTTGCTCTGCAGTGTTCAGCACAGCAGCAAACGCACACTGCTAGGGCTTTTAGTGTCTCTGAATGATAAATTATCAACATTTCTTTATTATATAGGAGAGAAAGCAAATGTTTTCTGTACAGAAGGGTTATTTTTCCTTCCTTTTTTATTCCTTAACGATAACATCATGGACGTCTCTTGTGGTCTGTGCTCAAACAGTGGAAGAAGCTGTGAGGTTCCTTTCAGACCAAACTGCTGCCACTCCTTAGCCATGCAGATGGTGCCCTTGCTCATTCCTTGGTCCCTGCTGCCTTTAAAACTAAAGAGTTTAGGGCTTTGCATGGTAATTACAAACACTAAATAGGTGGCTGCTGGCCAGAAGAGGCTGTGTTGTTCAGGCTCAGTGATGTGCTTGCTGTTAAGGTTTGCTCGATGCTTTGCTTGCAGTGTGTAGTAAATTGAGGTCCTGCATTTTGCACGTTCAAGCTGTTGCATGCAAAGTTAATTCTGTGTTTTGCAGAGCTGATGAACACAGATGAGTCCTTGCTCTGCTGGGTTCAGTCAGCCTGGGTTCCATTGGGTTGCGTTCGTTTCCTTTTCACACAGGCATTTAGGGTTAGTGTACCTGAAAGGGAAGTGTATCTGATTGTGGCTTTGAGAACAGTACCTGGTTATTGTGACTGCTAGGATGAATTGTAACAAGTGTGGTTGAGCAGGCACTTCCAGTGAGTTTCTTCCATCCCTCTCCTCTGTCCTTTCCTCTACAAACAAACCAAGAAGATGTTTAAGTGTATCCTTTTGCTCTACTAATGAGTAGAATGTATTTTAATGCATGAGGGGTTTATTTTCATGTCCTGGTCAACACAATGAATAACGTGAAATGCTTTTCTCTGCAGATGTGGAAGCTATCCCAGAAAGCAGAAATTCAAAAAGCAGGTCTAGGGAGCAACAAAGCTCCTAATTCTATTACCCACTACCTGAGCTGTGGGCCAAGTGGTGAGTTTCCTGCCCAAAATGTAAATGAGATTAATTTCATTTACAACAAACTAACAGCATTACCTATGAGAACAAGTGCACATTGCATTAACCAGTTGTAAATGCTGCTTGCTTAACTGGCTTCTGTCTCGCTTACTGGTTAGGCCAGAGCAGGATGGTTTCCAGCAGTTGTTTTGCCTGTGTAGGAAAGGGACCATCATCCCATGAGCCTTCTGCCTCTAAAAATGACATATACTTTATTTGTCATATTTCTTGAGGAAGAAGGTTAAAGAAAGGAGTAATGTTGAAGTCAGTTCTTAGAAAGGGACTGATACATCTAAAAGGACAGTTTAACAGAACAAAAAGTGTTCCGTAGCACAAGGAGACTGCCTTTGTACAAAGCTTGTCTTTGGCATCCTGTCCTCTTGACTCCATGAAACCCCCTTTGCTGCATGCTGTTAGTGCTGTTAGTTCTGTTAGTGACTTAACTCCTGTATTTTATCCTTCCCCACTTTTAAGCTTTTCTTGTGTTCTTTTCTCTTTCCGCCTTGCAACTGAACGCAGAGAGAAAAGTGTCCTTCAGTATCTCAGTATGAAGCCTTTATATCTGAAGTAACAAGACAGCGACTGTAGGAATCAGTAATAAGAATTAAGGGAAATTTTTTACCTTCTTCGTGACTAGAGCAGGCAAGAAATAAAAACCTACCTACCTTCCTCCTTCCTTCCTTGAATCAAGGAGCTCTACTGGAGTCTGCTGCCGGAAACTTGTAGATGGTCTTAGGAATTATTGCACATTGCACTGTTAAGATCTACTGAATAAAGGACAGTTCTCATCTCTCCCTAAGGACCAAGGATTTTAAGGTCTCAAGAATTTCCTCCAGGGGAAAAAAAAAAGGAGAAATAAAAATACTTCTTTCCTCTTCTGTTTATGAATTTAGCCACTGATTTGCTTAAGCTTCTGCTAATAATTAGCCAAAAACCCCCCTAACAAGCAGTTTCTCTTCTGTACACCTAAACCGCTGTAGTATTTTGTTGGAATTGACTGTAAATACAGCTCCAAACCCCTCCCCGCTTACTGGCACTTCACTGCCTTACTGGGTTAGCGTAATCTGCATGAAATTGCTCTTTAAAACGTTTCTGCTGATTTTTGTTGCGTTCTGCAAGGGAAAAAACCATGTTTACAAACCTGACAGAGTTCAGTGACGAACACGTGGGAGCCATGGGATGATCGTATTGATACAGAGATGGTTTGTCAGTTGTGTTCTTCACATTCCCCCGCGTTACTCCGCGAGTGTATGTTCAGATGTTCCTGACAGGACCTTGTCGGGTATGATTTTTCTATGCCTTTTCTTTTACTACAAGGCTGTTCTCAACAAGTGGCATTGCCAGGATCAAACTGTCTTACGATGTGTGTGTACTGACTCCTTTTTTTTCACTTGTTTGTCCTTCGACATGAGCTGATGGTGGCTTTAGGAGGTCTCTTGATGGCAGAAAAAGGAAATGTAAATAATATCACCTGCATTTTACAATCGGTTCCCCTTAAGGTTATCTTTTACTAGCAAGATACATTTTGTTCATTATTGATTTATATTAAAGTCGACGAATGTTATTGGTACATTCAGTGGTTGCATATATTTGTCGTCTTGAAAGCCCATGGGGAGAGCTCACAGGATGTGTATGTGAGCTTACAAGCAGAGCCAAAATGAGTTTACTGTAGTTGTATTTGACTACAACCCCATAAGCACACCCATGCTCCAGTTCTAACGGGTTAACTGTGTAACCTCCTCACATCCCATCCTCTGACAGGCATGCGGGTAACTTCACCTCCAGCTATCTCCACTCACCTAAGTGAAGGTAAGCTGATGTGTTTTTGCAGGGTTTAGCACTTATAGTGCTTCGGGCTGTCAAGGACAGTTGGAATGGAATTGTTTTCACTGGAGAGAAGATGCAGTTCAGCAAATTCAAAAGCATCCTGTCATTTAATTCATTTTACTGAGATTTTGTCAAAAAGGGTAAAAAGAGGAAAGTTGGAGAAGCTTTAAAAGGAAATTCTCTTGGTTTTCTTCCTTAAAGCGACTTCCTTCTGAGCTACCTTTGATAAAATACCCTAAAAGATCCAGTTCTGCACAGAATGTTCTGTGTTTACAACAGAAATACTCGGTTCAGTCTGGGATTGTTTTCCCGGAGGGCTTAAACATTT